TGGAGTGTACATGCCAAGTACACGCCAATCTGGAGTATACAGGGTGAGTTTTCTCAATGTGTCAATAATTTGTAGGTAGCTTGGGCACCCCGAAGGGATCATTTTCCACAAATAAACTAGTGGGCGCAAACGTCTAGTTTCTAAGATAATTAGTGTTTTGTAATTTACCTTCGCACCTTCGAGGTAGGCACCTGCTGCCACTGAGGGTGGCGGAACCTCGTGAGTGGGTGTCAGGGGACTGGCAGTACTCGCGGGAGTGCCACTGAATTAGAAGAAGTGCCCGTGGAGCCCTGCCACCCTCGTGAACACAGCTGCAAGATCCACTGTTACGCAAGCCACCAAGACAGCCACCTGCGACCCTCGGCAACCCCCCGAAAAGACAAGTGCAAGGTCCGCCGCACCCCCGAGAGTCTCAAAGCATCCCCACTGGACCCGCGACACCGTCTCGTGAGGTCCTGCGACCCTCAGGGGCAGCGTGTGCCTATCTCGCAAATGCGAACGCCTATTACAAAACACCAATTATCTCCGCACCTAGACGTTTGCGCCCAATAGTTCACTGGTGAAAAACGATCCCCTCGGGGTGCCCAAGCTATCTACAAATTATTGACACATCGAGAAAACTCACCCTGTACATTCCAAGTACACTCCAGGTTGAAGTGTACATGCATGTACACTCCAGGTGGAGTGTACTATGTACACACTTGAGTTTGTAGAGTATCTCTGTTTTGGCATGCACGGTAAAAACGGTTTTTCCTGGTGTTCCCGGGGGGAACTCCCTGGAAATCGCCTATGTCTGTACCATAGGCGTCCTGGAAAAACCGGGAACAGTTTTTACCGTGTGGTGCTGATAACGTGAGGAACTCTGCATTTGAAGTGTGGAGACTGCAAACCCTGCACTTCCAAGTGCGGAGACCTAAAATTCCACACCTCCGCATTTCAAGTGTGGAGTTGTTCTTCACACTTGGTTTCACCAGCTCACGGATTCCTCCTTTCCTGATTGCAGTTTGAGTTTTTGGCGAATCGCGTCAACGCGTGGACGCGGTGGGGGTTGCGGCGCAGGGTGTGCGTGGTGTGCGCCACTCGCTCGAGCATTTTACAGTGCGTCTTGTTTCCGAGTTTTGCCGAAAGGGCCCTCCCTCCTCATTCCTCTCTTTCAAGCGCGCGTTTCTACTGTGATTTCACAGATGCGGCCTGGTCTTGGAGAAGTGGCTACAGCGGATCTCGTCCCCATACATCCTCATCCTCTTAGAAGCCCCCGAAATGCGGAAGAACGTTTCAGAGGAGGAGAAAGGTGCTCTTTTTCGCACCACCAATTTTGGACAAGCTGTGAGTAGAAAGTTGGGCGACGCTACTAGGCCCCGCAAGCCGAGGGGTAACCCACTGTAAAATTTGGTGAACAATGGTTGTGTGAATGTGCAAGAATGTGCAAGATTTCTGGCGTTTTTGCCACACATGTTGCCTGATTACAGGCGGTTTTGCCACCTGAATGTGGAATGTGGTCAAATTTTGCACAATGAATGTGGGAAGCTGTTCGCCCCTCGCTGCAAGCCCAAAGGGCACCGCTAACCCCCGTCGTCCTTCGTGCCCTTGCGGTAGGGGCCCAAGAGCTGTCGATGCAACTTCGTGATCCTGGTGCTGCCTGCGGTTCAACTCGCCTTCGACCTCGCGGCCTCCTTGCTCTGGTCCCCGCTGGCGAGGTACGTGCACTTTCCGATCGCTTTGCGACGAGGGGGCGTGCACTCGCTTGATAGTCGGGCCACCTAATAGCTCCGAATAGCTCGGTACACTGAAAAACCAAACGTGGTCTGGACCACACCAACTGGTAAATGGGTGCCATTTTGACCGCATCAGTGGTGTGGTCTAGACCACGTTTGGTTTTTCAGTGTAAAAGCATGCGGAATAGTAGCATAATAACCGAAATTCGCAAATTTTTACCTATTTTTGAGGTGTTTTGAGTTGGTGTTAGCTTAAGCCCAATTTTTTTAGGCGTAACAGAGCGTAAAAGTCGGGTCACAGGTTTTGATAGTGCACACCCCCTTCTTCTCCGATCACTTTCCGATCTCGTTCGGATCACTTTTCGATTACTTTCCGACGACTTAGGGTCAGGGCGGGGAAGAACTGGACAGGGGAAGAACTGGACACCCCATATTTTACTTCAAATACCGAAGGCACAGGAATAGCAACTATCAAAAGTGGTTCCGTGGCATCAGCGGTTCATTACACGACAGTTGTCAGGCCAGGACATACGGCATTTGAAGTAAAATGTGGGGTGTCCAGTTCTTCCCCTGTCCAGTTTTTCCCCGCCCTGACCCTACCAAAGAATTTCCGGACGAAAATGGGTTTTTCCTCCAGCCAGATGGTCCTGCTCCTGGACGCCGCCCCTTGGCCGACCGGCGGGCCGTTGCAGACCCAGGACTGGCGGCAGTCGAACTCGTCCGAGGCGGGGGTTGGGGGTGAGTGTCGCCACGCTGAAAAGGTTCGCACACTGTAAGTGTCCGCCGCTCGCTGCTGCCGCCTCACCCTGCAGACTGATTCCGAAAGTCGATTTCGTCACTCTGTCTCTCTCGCACTCGTGGGGCGTCCCGCCCGTCTCACTGTGGCAAAAAGCTACGGAAAATTCTGTAAACAGCTTGTGGTAATTCTCCGTAGGCCCCTTATCAATATTCTCCGTAGGCTCTTACAGTATTCTCCGTAGGGCCGCACAGTATTCTCCGTAGGACCTTACAGTGATCTCCGTAGGACTATACAGTCTTCCAGGTCCTACGGAGAAGACTGTGCGGACTTACAGAGAATACTGTGCGGCCCTACGGAGAATACTGTAAGAGCCTACGGAGAATATTGATAAGAGGGCTACGGAGAATACTGGCAAAAAAATTAACAGGATTTTCCGTACCTTTTTGCCACATAGCTATGTGCGTGAGAGACAGAGCGACGAAGCGGAATCAGTCTCCTGTCGCTCTGTCTGCCTCACACTCATGGACTGTGCCGAGTGGTGTGAGGGCAGGCGCGGATACAGAGGGGGGGGGGGGGGCAATGGGGTTTTTGCCCCTCCCCAACAGCCCCTAGCCCCGCGCCTGAAAGGTAGGCAAAAAGTGCAACTTTGCCCCTGTAAGTAGGCAAAACTTTGCCCCCCTCCCCCAAATGCCGCCTCTGGATCCGCCACTGTGTGAGGAGTGCGGGCGGCGGCAGCGCTCGACCGCTCGAGCAAATCATCAACAAGCCCGCCGTGCCGCAGACTGATTCCGACAATCGTCGCTCTGTCTCCCTCGCACCTACAGGGGGCGCCCCGTGAGTGCGAGAGAGACAGAGCGACCAAAAGGACTCTTAGAATGAGCCGGCCGGTCGCAGGGACTGCGAGGACGGCGAGCCGCCGCGACCACGTCGAACTGTTCCGCGTGCTGTGGGACTCGCGTCGCGTGCACCGCCTCGCCCTGTACCAGACTTCGCGGCCGGGCCGCCTCACGGCAGTGGACCTGCCGCGGCGCCGCACGCGCAACGTCTGCGCCCTGGACGGCCGCGGCGTCTGGGACGTGCTGGCCGCCAACATGACGGTACTGCCCGGCTCGACTCCCACACCGAGAATGAAAAAGTCATGATCAATACCCAATTTTGGGCGAGGTATATTACATCACCCAAATTTGGGCGAGGATTGTTTCCTCGCCCAAATTTGGGCAAGGAAGGCTTCCTCGCCCAAAATTGGGAGAGGAAGGGTGTATCAGCTACCTATATGGCTCCATAGTATTATGACCCAAATGTGGGTAAGGAAACCTTCCTCACACCCAAATAAAGAATTCCTCGCCCAAAATTTTAGTCATGATCATGACCATTTCATTCTTAGTGTGCGGAGGCGTGAGACTTTCTGTTTCCGCGCTTGGAAGTGCAGAGTTTGCACATTAAGTGCGGTGCGGAGTTCTCCACGTTTGCGCCATACCAAGAGACAGAGGGCTCTGTTCCACGCTCGAATTGTGGAGGCTGCAAACTCCACAACTACGTCCAGCAGTGTGGAGAAGTACTCCGCACCAGGAAGTGTGACGTGAAGTTCTCCGCACTTGGCTTGGACAGTGATACAGTGGTCGGTCCTCTGCGACAGAACCTGCGCGGGCTGACGGTGCGAGTCACCATGTTCCCGCGGCGCCCCACCTCCGTGAAGGTCCGCAAGGGCTTGGACGTCACGGCCACGGCCAGGGGGTACAGTAGCCAGCGCAGCCTCAGCCTCAGCTTAACGCCAATTTGAGCAGACTGATTCCGAGAGTCATTTTCGTCGCCCTGCCTGTCCATCACTCCCGAGGCCCTTTTACACTGTGCCACCAAATGTGGAGGACGCCACACTAGAAGAGCGGCGGAGGTCAAGAATTTTCAATTTCCGCACATAGAAGTGCATAGTAGTCGCAGTCTCCACACTTCAGTCTCCACACTCCACGCACCGTGCCAAGAGATGAGCTACTCCGACGAGTGGAGATTGCAAACTGTACGCGTCCAAGAGTGGAGAATTCACACCCGGAAGTGAGGAGTTCTCCACGCTCGCCTTGGCAGTGTAGGTGCGAGAGAGACAGAGCGACGAAAATGAGTCTTGGAATCAGTCTGCGGGCTCCAAGGGGTCTGCCACTTCATGCACTCATTTGACGTGTGTCCAGCCTACACTCACCTCTCCACACTAGAAAATCAAAGGCATAGAAACTGTACACACTTACAAACGCGTGCTTGGCCAAATACACACTTACAAATGCATGCTTGCAAGTACACACTTACAAACGCATGCTTGACGCCGTATAACTATCCATGCGTCAAGCATGCGTTTGTAAGTGTTTACTTGCAAAGCATGCGTTTGTAAGTGTGTACTTGCAAGCATGCATTTGTAAGTGTGTACTTAGTAGACAGTTAGGTTTGCGCAGTGCAGGTTTCTGACATCCTGGCAAAATTTGCACGAGTGCTTACCTCCTCCGCCTCCGCCGCCAGGGTGTTCGGCGACGCCGCGGCGCGCCGCGTCGGCTTCCTGGGCAATGGACGCCTGGCTGCTGGCCATCTTCGCGGCGGCGCTCAACTTCACGGCCGAGGTGCGCGGCACGGCGGACGGCCGGCGCTTCGGCTTCAACGACAACGGCACCTACACCGGCTCGCTGCGGGAGCTGGTGACGGGGCGCGCGGACGTGGCCTTCAACCAGCACTTCGTCATGGACTACAACTCGGGCGCCGTGCTGCCGTCCGCCGCCGTGGACTTCGACGCGCTGTGCGTCGTGGTGCCGCTCGTCGGGAACGACGGCTCCCTCGTGGACCTGCTGCGCAGCGTCAGCGGCGGCGTGCTGCTCGTGTTCGCCCTCACCGCCGCCACCCTCATCGCCGTCTACTGGCTCATCAGCTGCCACGCGCCGCGGCGGCCTCACCTCCAGGCAGGACGCGCCAACGTCACCGCGACACTCTAAATTTGGAATGCCCTGAAACTGGACGCCTTCGTCGCTCGCTCCAGTTTTCAGGGCGCCAGTCGCCCAGTTTCGAGGAGCACGAGTCATTACGCAACTTCCCTTGTGAAACCAAACGTCAGCTACACTGGTGAAACAAAGGCATTAAAACTATGCCCTGGACCGGCGAAAGCCTTTAAAAGGCATTAAAATTTCGCAAAGCTCCTGTGCTTATTGCATGGGCGTGACAACAATGTCATCAACTGAATTGCTGTAGGAAAATTAGCCTTGGAATTGTCATCGAGTGACGACTCAAATTTTCACAGTGTGCGCGCCCTGCCCGCAGGACTCGTTCTTCTTCATGTTCGCCGTGCTGTGCGGCGCCCCGGCCGTGCCCTTGCCGCGCGTCTGCTCGCAGCGCGTGCTCATCGGCTTCTGCGCGCTCTACAGTGTGGTGGCCACCAACTCGTTCCAGAGCCTGGCGTCCACCGACATGGCGGCCGGCCGCGGCGCCTCCAAGATCTCCACCCTGGAGGAGCTGGACCGGTCCGGGCTGCGCACCATCTCGGGCTCCGACTCGCTGCGCACCACCACCTTCCAGGGCGACAACCCCCTGCTGCGGCGGCTGCTGCCGAAGGTCTTCTTGGCCAAGGACGACGACGAGTACAAGCAGGTGAACCGGACTCTCAACCCAAGGAACACGAAACACTCACGAAGCAGTCCGAGGATGTCAACACAACGTCAAAAAGACCCTTTTTTTCGTCGAAATTTTGACTAAAATTAGTGAAATTGACATTAAATGATATCACGGTGAGCGTTACGTGTTCTTGGGGTAGGTTTGAACGTCCGGGGTATTCTGGAATACGCTGCACAGTGGGCCAGAAGAGCGATGCCGGCGGCCAAAACTACAGACGCGTTTTGCGCTCCAGAGCCGCTAAATAGGACTCGAACCGAACGTGTGAGCCCACCAATGGATTGCTCTCCGAACGCGTCTGTAGAGTTCTGGCCGCCTGCATGGATCGATGGGGCAGGCAGCCTGTCCCAAATTACGACGCCCGTCAACGGTACACCACACTGGTGAAACAAAGGCATAAATCGTTAATGCCTTTGGGAAGGGCATTAAAATTTTGCTTGAAATTCCTATACCATTTACGCCCTTCCCAAGGGCATAAAACGATTTATGCCCCTGGAAGGGCGTAAAAGAGTATTTATGCCCTTAAGGGCGTAATTTTTATGCCTTTGTTTTACCAGTGCACTGTAAAACCAAAGTGTGGAGAACTCCTCACTTCCCTAGTGCGGAGTAATTCTCCACGCTTAGGCGGGTGCAGTTTGCAGTCTCCTCACTTCAAGAGGGGTGGCTCACAGAGCCCCTGTCTCTCGGCATGGTGCATACGCGGAGAAGTCTATACAAGTGTGGGGACTGCAAAACTCGTGCACTTCCAAGTGCGCAGACTGAAAACTCCACACCCCCGCATTTCGAGTGTGAAGGTCCTCGTCCTCCCCACTTTCACAGTGTCTGGACGGACACCGAGGGGGAAACGACTTCGGTTATCCGATGTACAGCAAATTGGTTATCCGCTATCCGGATAACCAGAAATTTCGAAGTAATCCGTGGAAATTCTGAGGTAATCCGGGGTAATCCGGGGAAATTCTGAGGTAATCCGGTGGAATCCGGCGTAATCCAGTGGTAATCCTGGAAATTTTTAGATGTAATCCGGAGGTAATCCGCGGGTTATCCGGGGTTATCCCTATCCGATGTACACAAAATTTCTCAGTCGTTTCCCCCTCGACGGACACGCAGGTGACCAGCACCCACCAGGTGGCGTGGATGAACCGGCGCAACTCGGCCAAACCGGCGGACTCGGCGTGGTACGTGCTGCCCGAGTGCCCCAGGCAGTACTTCCTGGCCTTCCTTCTGCCGCAGTCGTCGCCCTTCCTCGACCCGCTCAACAAGGCAAGGGGAAATAACTTTGAATTTCATGAACACTGCACAGTGCACAAATTTTTGAATTCTACATGAATTTTGGACAAATTTCAACAAATTTGCAGCTCTTTGAATTAAAAGTATAAATTTCACTGATTTTTGAAGGATTTTCATTAAATTTGGCTAAATTTCATGAATCTTGAAGAAATTTGACTAAATTTCATGAAGTTTGAAGAAATTTGACTAAATTTCATGAAGTTTGAAGAAATTTGACTAAATTTCATGAATTTTGAAGAAATTCGACTAAAATTCAAGATTGTCCATGAATTTCTGTGAACAAATTTTTTTTGGACTTGTTTCCCTTTGCAACAAGGTACTGTACCGCCTGCAGTCCGGCGGCGTGCTGCACTTCCTGCGCTCCATGTCCTACGAGTTCCTCATGAAGCGCGAGGCCGCGGCCAGCGCCAAGGGCGGCGGCGTGACGGTGAGCTTGGCCCGTCCGCGAGGCCGCACAGTGGAATCGCCAGAAGACCGGTGGAGGCGGCCAAAATCCCGGACGCGTTTTGAGCTCCAGAGTCGCTAAATGGGACTCGAACCGATCGTGTGACCCCACCAATGGATTGCTCTCCGAATGAGGAATCCGTTGGTGAGGTCGCACGTTCGGTTCGAGTCCTGTTTAGCGACTCTGAAGCTCAAAACACGTATAGAGTTTCAGCCGCCTCACCGGTATTCTGTCCCACTATGGGGTGGGATCGGGTGGGACCCGAGAGGTTCCTTCGGCAGTGTCGAGAAGAACTCCACATTTCTTAATCCAATCTGAGGCAAGGTTGACTACCGTCTCCACGGAGGTGTGTTGTGGGCCGGGGTGGTTGTCTACCTCGCAGGCGCTAACAGGCTGAGGGCTGAGGGGGAGGGGTGAATCACTGGTGTACTCGTGGACAAAGTCACCCGTACTCAGTGTACTCACAAGTTTAAGGCGGAATCCTCTGGTTTTTTCACTCGATTTGGTGTTGAGTGTCGTTTATAACGCTAAAGAAAGCATAACAACGTTAACAAATGTGAAAATTTCGAGTAAAATAAGGTGTACTCTCCCGTATTCATGCGCGCGAGATGGACCAACGTACCCCATTTGTTTTGACACTTTTCTCGTGATTGAAAAACGCGAGAGATTCGGCGGCGGAGACGCGAGCTTGCTTTGGCCCCGTGTTATTCTCAATTCTGCGACGACAAACAGGGTCGGTATTTATTTTCAATCCGTGCATGTAAACAAGCGCATTGTCGCGGCCCAGCTGCACGCCGTGGAGCCAAGTGTGTAGAAACCCGCACTTTCTGGGCGCGGACTCTCAACATCTCGACTTATGTGGAGTTTGCAGTTGAGTTGTGGAGTAGCTCACTGAGCCCCTATCTCTTGGCATGGGGCAAACGTGGAGAACTTCTCACTTGTGTTGAGACTGCAGACTCCGCACTGCGGGGTGCGAAGACAGCAAATTCCACGCACCTCCGCATTTCGAGTGTGGGGTTCACGACACTTGGTTTCACAGTGTGGCGCGCTGCTTGCAGATCCCCCTGCAGACCCTGCGGGTGCCGCTCCTCATGCTGTGCGCCGGCTACTCTGCGGCCGTCATCGCCGTCCTGGGCGAGATCGCCGCGCACCGCCTGGCCAAGTACCTCCGCGGCCATCCCCGGCGCCGCGGACCGCGTCCTCTGACAGGACGGCCTCCGCGACGTCTTGCTGGGCCTCGTCCTGGCGGTGCCGGTAGGCGGAGGCGGCGGCCACCGTCGTCGGGTCTCGGACCGTGCGTGGTCCGGGCGGCCGCGGAGTCGCCGCCGCCACCGCCGCCACCACCACCACCAACACCACCACCACCACCACCACCACCGCCGCGCCCCCCGCCTTCGTGCAGGAGCGCCGAGGCGGCCACCACCTCCGCAATCCTGTGTGCATCTTGACTGAAATCCATGCCGTACATAATCACGTAATCCTTCATGAAATTTTGTGCCCTTTTTAGCATTTTTTATCCAATTTCCAAATATTTTACGTGGAATCCCCGGTAAAATCCCTGTGATCCCGTATAACCCTGTGTGCGTCTGAAATAAGAGTAGCGGCCCCTTGATTAGCACGCACTAGAGCGCGTCCAACGCGTCGCCTCGACGGAACGCTAGGCGACCACCAAATCGACCCCACGCTCCCCGCCCCTGCATAGCTTCGGGCAGGCTCGTGGAAGCAGTCAATGGAAGTAAAGTCCTGACAGTGCCGACGGGCCCCGCGTGGCCCGCGGCCAATCGCAGAGGCTAGGCGGCTGTAAAATTGTTTTTCGAAGAGGGTCAGTCGTCACCCCTTTCGCGGTGGAGTGCCATGCTAGTTGCGTTACCTTCAGGATGATACCAGCCTCTTCCTCCTCCCCCCCCCCCAAGCGCCACCGCCACTGGCAGAGAAACACCGCGAGGCCCAATCAACCCCTCCTGCATGTTTTCAATTTCCAATATTTCCCAAATAAATATTTGCAGTCTGGCCGCAGAGGGGTGTGTGCCGTGCCGCGCTGCCGCGCCCGGACACGGCGCCTCGCATACAAACCCAATTGGGTGCCGAAACCTCGTTGGCATCGAAAAAGAGAGAGACAGACGGAGGAAGGGGGAGGGGGGGAGCAAACAGCACATACACTGCATTGGGCAACGACTGCCCGCGGCCGTCCCGGGGCGTGGCGTGGGTGGAGGGTGTGGGGGCCACTATAAGAGCCGCCGGGTCGCGGTCAGGACGTCAGTCACCTCCGTGACAGCCTTTCAGCACCAGCAGCAGCAAGATGAACTTCTCCGCCGTTGTGAGTTTTCGCTATAAGGCCCGTGTAGTTGCTGCGGGGACTCAGGCCCTTCCTTATCCTCCAGACGTTCACCCACTGTGAAACCAAGTGTGGAGAACTCCACACTTGGACCCGAGCTTGGGCCACTGGAATTTTCAGTCTGCGCACTTGGAAGTGCAGAGTTTGCAGTTTTCACACCTCAAGTGTGGAGTTGTCCACGTTTGCACCATGCCGAGAGACATGGGCTGTGTGAGCTTCTCCTTACTTGAAGTGTATAGACTCTCATTCCAGGAACGTGACATCACGTTGAAACGAATGTGACAAACTGTCACGTCCGTTTGAGCATCGTGTCACATTCGTTTGGGTGTGAATTGGCCGAAAATCAGCTTGTTCACACGAACGTGACAAAATGCTCAAACGAACGTGACATTTTGTCACGTTCGTTTCAACGTGATGTCACGTACTTGGAAGGAGAGTATAGACTGCAAACTCCACTCGTCCAAGTGGAGCTTGCACTCTGCACCAGGAGGTGTGGAATTCTCCACACTGGAAGCCCACGAATGTGACGTCATATTCGTTCGAATGTGAATTTTGTCACGTCCGTTTGAATATGATGTCACATTCGTTTGAATGTTGATCCACGTTCAAACGAATGTGACACCCTGCTTGAACGGCCGAGTCACGTTCAAACAAATGTGACATCACATTCAAACGAACGTGACAAAATTCACACTCTTTGGTTTGACAGTTGTTTCCTCGGCCCTGCAGGTCCTGGTGGTGGCGAGCGTGGCGGGCGTCTGCATGGCCGGCGTGCCGCTGGCGGCGCCCTTCGCCGCCGTGCCCTACGCCACCTCGTACTCCGGGCACACCGTGACCCACGCCGTCGCCGCGCCCCTGGCCGCCCCCGTCGCCCCCGTGGCCCCCGTCGCCAGGCTGGTGGCCGCCCCCGTGGCAGCGCCTCTGGCGGCCGCCCCCCTCGCCGCCCCCTTCGCCGCCCCCTACCTGGCCGCCCCCTACGCCGCCAACCCCTACGCCCCCCTCGCCGCCCCGCTGCCCGTGGCGGCCGCCTACTCCGGCCTGCCCGCGCCGTTCATCCTCAGGAGGAAGTAGGAGGAGACCTCGTCGTCACTGAAGTGCAATAAAACAAAAACCGAAACAAACTGCCCGCGTTGTGTGCCTTGCACGCCCTGCCCGCTCTGAGTATTTGAGTGTGTGCACTGAGTACACGCTTCACTGAAGTGTTTACTGAGTACACGCATCACTAAAGTGTTTACTGAGTCCACACGTCAATGAGTTCACTGCGATTTGCTTAGTACGCGCATCATTAAAGAGTTTACCGAGTACACACACAGACCATTTCGGTGTGTACTCAGTTTTCACTGAAGTCAATTTTCAGGGCGTCATGCCTCTCCTGCCCTCACTGCAGTGCAGGTTCCCCAACCAATGGGCCACGGCCCAGACTGTCAGCCGAGCGATTCTGAAAGAGGGAGAGAGAGAGCGAGAGAGAGAGACAGAGAGAGAGAGACAGAGAGAGACAGAGAGAGACAGAGAGACAGAGACAGAGAGAGACAGAGAGACAGACAGAGCAGGAGGGAGGGAGAGAGAGCGACGAAACGATCTTTCAGAATCGCTCACCTGGTGTCTTCTCGCTCTCACACACGCAAACGCCAGCCTTGAGCGGCTAAGAGGATTCGCTATGATTTATTTGTTCGCTGGCCGTCAGGTCGTCGGGGTGCGCGGCCCAGCCGGCGCGGTCCGGCACGGTACAGTTCGCTGCGACAGCAGACTGATTCCGAGAGTCGTTTTCGCCGCTCTGTCTCTGTCGCACCATGGGGCGTCCCGTGTGCGTGCGAGAGAGACAGCGCGACGAAAACCACTCTCGGAATCAGTCTGCAGCTTCCCCCGCGAGAGTATCTCCTGGATCCGCCCCTCCCCTGCCTGGCCGGCCGTCCCGGCGGCCCGCCACACCGCGCCACGCCCCGAGGAGGTCAAGGTTCACTGCGACACTCCGAACGTACACCGGCCAAAGCCGAATTCCGCTCGCAAGGCGCCGCGAAGGCGCTGCGATGGCGCGACGGCTGGCGAGCGTTTCCGAACGAGAGTTTGCAACAAGTCGAAGTGACCTCTCGGAAGAGGCGTTCCAGAGCCTCGACGGGACGGGCCGTTCCAGGATGACGATCCTGAGTGGACGCAGGCTTCACGCCCCCCTTCCCTGCAGACTGCTGGGTCGCGTTCGTCGCTCTGTCTCTCTCGCACCCACACGGAGCACCCCATGAGTGCGAGAGAGAGAGAGAGAGAGAGAGAGAGAGAGAGAGAGAGAGAGAGAGAGAGACAGAGACAGAGAGAGACAGACAGAGAGAGAGAGAGAGACAGAGAGAGAGAGAGAGAGAGAGAGAGAGAGAGAGAGAGAGAGAGAGAGACAGAGAGAGAGAGAGAGAGAGAGTCGCCAAAGTCCGAGAGTCGTTTTCTTCTCTCTTCTCGCGTTCACGGGGCGCTCCGTGTGGGTGCGAGAGAGACAGAGCGACGAAAGCGATTCCGTCTGCTGTTCGGCCTGCTCGGCCGGGCTCTTCGCGCGCCGCGGTCGGAATTGGTACTTCGGCTATATAAGCAAGCCGTCGGCGCCGCCGCGCCGTAGTCCCTCTGCATCACCGCCATCGCCATGGCCAGCTGGACCGTCGTCGCCGTCCTCGCCGCCCTGGCCGCCCTGGCCGCCCTGGCCGAGGGCGCCTCCGTCACCAAGACCAAGTGCCCCGTGGTGCCCGGCAAGTCGCCCTTCGACTTCAACAAGGCGAGTCCACCTTCCACGGAGGCCGCGCAGTGGGCCAGCGGTGATGGCGGTCAAACTTCCGGAAGGATTTTGAGCTGCAGAGTCGCTAAATGGGACTCGAACCGAACGTGTGACCCCACCGATGGATTGCTCTCCGAACGAGGAATCCATTGGAGGGGTCACATGTGCGGTTCGAGTCCTGTAAAGTGACTCTGGAGCTGAAAACGCGTCTAGAGTTTTCCCTCGTAAAAACGTTAAATTAAATTTTATAAAATTTTTGTTAAAGTTTTGTTAAGAGTAATCAACTTTTAATTAAATCGTCTACTTTAATTAAACTTCTTTTGTTAAATTGCCGTGTTTAACAAAAGTTTATTAGTTGGATTTATTAAAAAAATGATCTAACAAAATTTAATTTGAACCTTACATTAATGTTTGTTAAAAATATTTCTTTATTAAACTCGTTTGTAATTTACTTTAACAACTTTGGACGGTCTTGTTAAGTTTAGTTCGGTGTTTAATTTGAGTTTGTTACGGATGTTCCTAAATTAAAGACTTCTTTGATTAAAGTGAACACTTGCCCTGGATTAAGTTAACGGATTATGTTACGATCTAATTTAATCATGTCAATAAGTTTAGAGGCTTGTCTTCGTGAACAGCGTGAATTGAACGGGACAAAAGCGAGGAAAGGGACTAGCTTCCATTAATTGAGCATCGACATCAAGCCCGCGCTTTTCAAGGCAATAAATACGATAATGTTAAGTCATTCTTTAATTAAATTTAATAAAAACTTGTATGCCGCTAGATGGCGCTGCCGTCTACTTCAATCCCTTAGCTCGCGGAGTTCACTAGCATAGCCGCTAGTATAAGGTGCGCAGGCGGGTCCTTCTGAACCAGTCGCGCTCAGAGGAGTCCGATCTCCTAATTTTTGACTTGGTTCCTCTAGGCAGGTGCCTAGGGGGAATCTGACCCGGCCAGAGGGTCTCTGTCGAACATCCATCCGAAATTATCGAACTAGTTCAAACGTTGCCCGATTTTAATCAAAACTTCTTTAATTAAATTACTTTAACTTTAACAAGGGATTTTATTAAAAGATTTTAATTAAAACCAAAAAATTGAATTAAAACTTGTTAATTTTAACAATATTTAACTAGTTTTTGTTAACGGAAAGAGCCTATGACGTGCTACCTGGATGCATTATTGGTAGCTGCTTCACCAATCTGGCCTTATTAACGGGCCCTTAACAAAAGTTAATAAGAAACTTCATTAAAGTTAATTAAATTTTATAAAACTGGTATTTGTTAAATATTAATGAAAACTTAATAAAGATTTAATATAACATTTATTAAATTTAATTAAGGCCATTTTACGAGGGTTGGCCGCGGGCGCCGCTCTTCTAGCCCACTGTGGGGCCCTGTCTGGTTGCAGATGCGACAACGTCTGGCTCGGTCGGCAAGAGCGTCGCTCACCAATAGAAGGACCTGGGATCGAATCCCAGGTGCTTGTTTTCCTCGTTACCGCTTCCCGTACCATCAGCCTGAGTTTGGGCACGTCGCTTGACTGTATAGCAATGGCAGGTGCAATGGCAGAGCTTAAGGGCTCTCGTGCGATGCTCCGTGGGAGTGCGAGAGAGACAGAGCGATGTCACTGAAAAACCAAACGTGGTCCAGACCGCACCACTGGTGTGGTCAGATGGGTGCCATTTTGACCACATCAGTTGGTGTGGTCTAGACCACGTTTGGCCACGTTTGGTGCGGTCTAGACCACGTTTGGCCACGTTTGGTGTGGTCCAGACCGCAACAAACGCACCAAACGTGGTCTAGACCACACCAACTGATGTGGTCAAAATGGCACCCATTTGACCTCACCAGTTGGTGCGGTCTAGACCACGTTTGGTTTTTCAGTGGTTCGAAAGCAACGTGACGGAGACTCTTCAATCAGCTCCAAGTAAAGTGAACCAGAGCATAAAGCCCCGTTGCCGCGCCGGTGCGGTTCGGCGCTCGGTTCGGCAAGTTTGAGGGTCCATCGCCATTACTCTCATTACTCTCTCTCTCTCTCTCTCTCTCTCTCTCTCTCTCTCTCTCTCTCTCTCTCTCTCTCTGGAACTTAGCCGAGCGGTTCGTCGCTCTGTCTCTCTCGCACCTTTAGGAAGAGCCCCATGATGTCGAGAGAGCCAGAGCGACGAAAACGACTTTCGGAATCAGTGCGCTTTTCGGAGGCAGTGTGCAAAGGGACTAAACCCTCTTGTTGTTGTTGTTGTTGTTTCGGTTGCAGTTCCGCGGCGACTGGCTGGTGGTGGCGGGCTCCCCCGACTCGGTGGCGTCGTCGGGCAAGTGCGGCAAATACAGTGTGTCGGCCGGCCCCGGCTCGGACGCCTTCAGCATGCGCTTCTCGGGGTCCGGGCCCAGCGTGGACGTGTTCACGCAGGCCGTGGCCGGCGACAAGCTGGCGCTGGGCCACGCCATCTACCGCAAGCAGGGCAACACCGAGTACGACGGTAAGTCCCGGCGGCGCACAGTGGGCCAGAAGAACCGAGAAGAACGGTATGGAGGCGGCCAAAATCCCGGACGCGTTTTGAGCTCCAGAGTCGGGACTCGAACCGATCGTGTGACCCCATTGATGGGTTGCTCTCCGAACGACGAATCCATTCCATTCCAATCACACGTGCGGTTCGAGTCCTGTTAAGCGACTCTGGAGCTCAAAGCGCGTCCAGGGTTTTGGCCACCCCCACCGGTTTTCTGGCCCACTGTGCGGTGGATTCAGAGGCCGCCTCTTCTTGGGAAGGGTTTTGAGAAGGGGCAAGGAAAGAGGGGGGAGCACTTTGGCGACCCCCTTCCTCTGCACGGCACACCGTTTACAATGTATGTCTGTATGCATAAACTGTTCTAAACGGTGTGTTTAGTACGTCAGGCGCACGCTTTAGAACAGAATGGCTGACCGAAACTGCATGGGTCCTGGGTGTGTTGAAAACTGTTTCGTCGCTCTGTCTCTCTCGCACCTTCACCGGACGCCCCATGAGTGCGAGAGGCTCGGCGAGAGGGGCAGAGCGACGAAAACGACTCTCGGTTGAGGAGACCCCTAAACTAACTCTTCTGTTTCCGGTTTGGTGCGTGCTCGGCACGCTCGGCAGGCGTGTTCAAGCAGAGCATCGTGGCCACGGACTACGACAACTACGCCGTGGTGGTGGCGTGCCGCCAGGTGTACGTGGCCAGCACCAAGAGCTTCGGCCGCCACCTCATCGCCGAGATCTGGTCCCGCAACAAGGTGACCCTGACGCCCGAGGCGCTGGGCGTGCTCAAGAACGTCATCTCCAGCTACGACATCGACGCCAGCGACATCAAGAACATGGACCGGGCCAAGTGCTAGGCGAGTTGCCTGAGCCGTGCCCTGCAGAGCATGCCACACCAACCAAGGGGACATCACTGTGAATTTCGGTGTACAAATCCAACAAATTTAAGTCGCATTTCGACGAATTTCAGTCGAATTTGAATTTCAGTTGAGTTTTGATTAATTTTAATGAATTTCAATTAATTTTATACATGTTGGTGTACAAATTTGGCTGGAGTTATTTCCCCTTGGCACCAACACCGCCTGGTGCGGAGTATCTGCACACCATCGCGTGTAGAGTTCGCAGTCTCCACACTTCGCGGAGCGCGGAGCAGCTCACAGAGCCCCTGTCCCTTCCCTTGGCATGGTGCAAACGTGGAGAACTCCACACTTGAAGTGTGAAGACTGTTCTTCCAAGTGCGCGGAGACTGCAAGGTCCACACCTCCGCACTTCAAGCGCAGAGTTCTCCACACTTGGTTTCGCAGTGTTCTGCGCGAGCAAGTGGCGTGTGCCTTGTTCGTGTTTGGTGTTTGAGGACAAATTAGGCGAGACCCGGCGAGCGGTTGCGTCGTTGACGTTGGGCGCCGCCACCGCCGCACCGCTCCGAGCGCGAGCCGAATGGAATCTCCCGCTCGATAAGGCCGGCGCGCGCGGCGGCGCTGCCGCTTCCGCTGCCCCCACCACCACTTCCCGGTTCCCGCGCGGCGCGGATGCGCGGAACGTTACAGCCGGACCGACTCCCCTCAGACACAGCGACCGTGTGGCCTAATGGATAAGGCGTCGGACTTCGGATCCGAAGATTGCAGGTTCGAGTCCTGTCACGGTCGATACCTCTGTTTTTGAGCCCGGTCATAGTTTACGGATGTGCTTGCTCTGAGCAAGTGCATGTTGCTCCCAGTGAGGAACAGAGCGGGAATGTCAGAAGTGAATATGGTTGTCAAATGTGTTGTGAAAAATGAAGATGGACCTCAAAAATTCAGATATTTGAAAGAATAATAAAGAGAAACCAATTTACATAAGCAAATATGATGATTAAATGTTTTGTCAGTTGTCAGAGAAGCTAGACCTCAAAGCCCAGATATTAAAGAGGAAAATAAAGAGAAACCTACAATTCCACTTACAAAAGCAAATATAAATGTGTTGTCAAAAATGAAGCTAGACCTTAAAATGTAGACATTGGAGAGGAAAATAAAGAGAGACCAACTTACAATTTTGCTTATTATTTAAAAAGTACAGTTTATAAGGATTGGTGATTAACAAACAAGTTATTCTTTTATAGAATAGTGAAACGCAATTTCATACCTAACACAAATGAAATTAGCCTACCATTGTTCGTTTCCTGCCACGAGCCCTTACCTCTTCAAATTTGGCAAGAATTGTTTTGGATTCCTGACTGTTAGCTTTTTTGTATGCTTGCAAAATAATTGGAAACATTTTGTCAGCATTAGAGTGGGTGCTTAACAAAGCTCTTTCTAGGACATACAGATCAACTCCTTTGTCTTCCGCACTATTATCAATGTGGCTCAATCCAAAATCAATTAATGTCAAAACAATTTTACTACTTTCAGACAGAGAATATAATATGTTTGAGGTGGTCAAGTCTCCGTGAATGATATGGTGAGCGTGAAGCCTACCAATGATTGATCCTATCTCATAAGCAACGGGTTTAATTTTAACCATTGCCTCTTCATCGGAACAGCCAATGAGGGAGTCTTTGATGAATTTCTTAACCGTTACACTACCTACTATGTCTTCCATGTATAGCCGTCTCTGATTGAAGTCAACGTGATACAAGCATGGAGTCCGAACACCTAGACAGTAATATGAAATGACAGAAACAGAGAAGTATGAGTTAGTTCTCAGATCGAAAATTAAGAATCAAATTATATATTTTTAGCCAGTGGGACATACCAGCTGCCTTGCTTCTCACAATAGCCCTCGCTTCGGCTTTTATTCGGTCCTTGGTCAGGTGTTCATCAAGGTCTGGATGTCGATACATCTTCTTGAACCTCTCCTTGACAACCGTTGGTTTTCCTAAATAGGCGCCTCTGAACAGTCGGCCCTCTGCACCTTGCTTCATCATCTCAAATCCTTCCAGCTCACTCGACATTTTGACTGGAAATTACAACAGATGTGGAAATAACCTCAATTTAACGAGTAAACAAACTTCAAGCAGACGCCGCGCACGAGAGCTAGTTATGAGAAATTGGGCGTCAATGATTTTTCATAGAGGAAGCAAATCGCGCGGGAAGCTTGAATGTCAATTGTCCAAAAGGCACGATTTGCAAGGTGAAATGTCATCTGTCATGAGGCCAGGAGAAAGTGTATGATTTTTTTAGGGTCTCATTAACTTACGCCTTTGTGGGCTCAAAATCTACTAAAGAGACTCAAAAATTAATCTTTTCAAAATTGAGGGAGCTTAGTATTGTAAGTACCTGTGTCATGGTGTGCGCCGATGAGCACTGATGTAATAATCTCCCGCGCAGAAAAAAAAATTCTTAACATAGTCATGTGTGTTTTGTGCTGTGATAAATAAACTTCAAGTCACCTTTTTTGAAAAATATTTTTTATTTCTCGACCTGATTATACATTGTTTGCCGGATATTAGAATATAATAGATTCTCTACCCACATTTCATCTTTAATTACACTCCTCTACCTCTATAATAGAAAACAATGTCAAATGCGGGATGGACAGTGACAGGCGCCTTCTACCCTCATGCACGCACTGTTCTCAACATTTCAAAGTCTAAACAATGAACAATTTTGTTAATATGAGTACAGTAGTATGAATTGAAAAAATAATTGAATTTGAAAACAAAACTCTGCATTCTTTAGAACGCCCCTGTCTCGATATGTTGAATAGAAATGAATAATTACAGAAACAAAAGCACTTTTTAGGCATGGCACACCACAAAAAGGAGGCTAGGATAAAACCAAGTAGAATTGGAAGCAAGCACAATGTGGACTTATAGGATCAGGACCAAGATAAAACACAGACCAATAAAAGTGTCATCTTAGTACAGTTTGTGGTCCCACATTTAGAGCAATAGTTTAAAATATATTCATACTTAATGGAAGGGTAATGGAAGTCCTACGAAGCCACTAAGCAGTTCAGTTCAATTGGACATGAGAGTCTGGTAACAGTACAATAGCAAAACAGAATAACTTGGGATAAGGAGGCATACTAAACAAGCAAAAACAAAGTTAGAAACAACCCAGCTGTCCAGTTTTTGCATCAATTGACCAATAGCACACAAAATATATTTTTAAGCTATATTACATTTTGTGACAAGTCAGTATTTGGGTTAACAAGAGCTTAAGATAATAAAATAATATAAAATCGAGAACATGTGAATAAACTCGACTCAATAAAGCTTCCAAACATCAACAACTAAAAATTAAATAATTAGGATCAAGTCATAACAGAAGAAGGTTGCTAAATTACACGACTAGATGGGTCCCCATGAAGGAATGTACTACATTGTTTAGCATTGCTTGACTAAATATCATAACCAGACACAAAATAAATAATATCACTGTACGTCATTAAAGATGTATCATAAAATTAAGAACACCACTAGCCATAACATAGTGTAGTTCATGACAAACTTGGCCTCTGTGGCATAGCCTGGTGCCATGTCCTAATAAAGCAGGAAGCTCCATCATAGACCTCTTAAAACTGTTGCCCACAGTTTTCTAAGGTTGTGAATGGTGCTCGTGAGACTGTCACAAAATTATTTTGACATGGAAACCAATGACCATTAGAGTTCAACACAAGTAGAGCATAGCTTTCTGCTATGTTGTGGAACGGCACTATACTGTGTCACACAGACCAGGTTGCTCATTTTAAACTAAAGCTTAACGCCCTTTGTTTCATGGAGGGACTCAATGGACAAATTGATTAATGTGTTTCTGTCATCAAGACAGTAGTACATCCAAGCACAGCTTAACTCTTGGCAGATATTATAACATGATTAGAGAAAGTATAAGAGCTAAGTATATTTTTCTTAACACAATTTAGCACACATGAACTCAAGTGAGCCATAAAAATGTAACCTGTATAAAGGTTTGATTAACAGCATAGAATAGTAAGTTACATCATCAACTGCAAAGTCAGTCAAAGAAGAGTTAAGTCATCTTCTATGAATCTTCTATGAAATGTATATTTATAAAACATTAATCTAAATCACATATTTAATCATGATATTCCCAGATGCCCAAGCTAGAAAAGAAACAAAACATGAAGTGAGAAATCTTTTGAAACGCGACACAAAATATGCTTGGTTTGTCCACAATATTGTATTTCCCTTCAAACTATCACTTACCAAGGATAATCTTTGTTGCTCCTTTTGCAGAACCTTACTAGTCTGATCAGAGTCGAATTTCACAACTGCAGCTATGACTCTTGCCAGAATCTGAAACATTTTGATGAAGATTCACATAAAACCGTATTATTAGAAAGAAAAAAAAAACAGGACTTGAACTGCACAAAAAACATACCATAGGCTCTTTTCCCATCATATACTCATACAAAATATTTCGCAAGTATTCAAGTTCTGTTGCGTCTTCAAGATTATCTGATCTGGAACTTACATGGTTACTGCTTGAACCATGATTCAAAAGTATTCTTCGAAGGTCATCAACCTCTTGCCTAAAAATGATCAAGGAAGTAAGATTCTGGCCCTCTAAATGAGCATTTAAAAAATATATATACATAATTCTTTACATACCGGTGCAGCTTTTTAGTTTCCTTCAGTTGATTTGATGCAACAGCAAGCTGTTGTTGCAGCTTCTCAACTAAGCTCAATGAACCATTACTGCTCCCATCAGTTACAGGGTCCTGTAAATTTATGTGAGCACAAAATGAGTAAAGAATTACAATATACAGCATTAATGACACTGGATCAAATATAACTGCATTACCTGGCGGTCCCATAAACGTTCTTTTTGTTTGAAAGCTCTGCCTGAGGTCGCCATCAAGTTCTCTTCTGTTAATCTCTCGATAATATCTGAGTTTTCCTGGGGAAAAGATAAGATCAGCTGTGATAAGCAGTTCATTAACTGTTTTGGGGTGCATTTTTCAACAGCTTCGAATCAGTACCTGCATGGCTGCATTGTGTTGCTCCAAAAGCTGGTTATACTTTTCTTGCCATTCATTAGCTGGAAAGGCAAGAGAAATTGAAATGAAGGCGAGTTATATGGCTCATTCATAAGAAGATACAGTACCACCTCACAAGGGAAAATATACACAGATTTCTTCTAAATCATTTTTTTAAATACTTAGATATTAAATTAAGAATTCAACACAGAGTGCTCCATTGTAATATTTAAGTTTGAAACTTCTTCTTTTTCAAAAAAGGAAAGGGTTGGGTTTGACTTTCAGAAGATAGTGTATTTCAGAGGACGCGTGTGGCTGCTAGGGTGCAAGGGGCAACACCGGTACGGTACAGGGTGAGGAGGGCGCGCCTAAAGCACTCAACCTAACACTGGTGCAAAATAGTAAAAATTTAAAAATGTAAAAATTTAAACCATTATTATAACTTATAAAAAAAAAAATTGTTTGGGAGTGAAATAAGGTAGTAGAGCACTAAATTTGGGGTGAATTATTAATCTAATATGTTAAGTCATGCAAAGAAAAGGGAGGGAATTGACCATATTCCTCCAACCCATTTCGGTAATTAGCCAGACTGACTAGTGAGCTAGCTGCTAGCCTTACAATACCGCCAGCAGTTTTCATTTATAACATCATCTGCCAAGAAACTAAGAAACGAGAAGTGTTCCTTACCAACTGAACTTTGTTCACTTTCAGTAAGCTCTGCGTAATGTTTGACAACACAAGGTTCTTCAACGACAGGTTCTTTAGAGACAAGAGAGCTGAAAAAGAAACAGAGTTTTGTTTTCAAGAACCTTAACATAAAAATAAGCTTCGCCCAAAATTTGACTTCGAGACACATACTTTTTGTCAGCTGATGTATTTTCTTGGTGAACTGCTTTGGCATGTAACGCTTCTACTTCAAGAGATAACTCGGTCTTTTCCTTCTTCAAAGCATCCAACTCTTCTTCCAGCAGGGAACACCGAATTTCAGACTCTTCTGCTTTTTGAATACGGAGAAGAAGACCAGCGCCATCATCCTGAAGTTGAGTGCACTTTGCTTCTGCCTCTTTGGCACGATCAATTAACTGTGTGAGATTTTGTCCAGCTTCCTTCAACCTTTGGTTTTCCTCTTCAAGTTCATTGATCTTGTTTGACTTGACAAGGAGCTCCTCCTCCTTGGCCTTGAGTTCCTCCTCAAAAGTTTTGGCTTCATTCAGTTTTGATAAAAGCAATTCCTCTCGTTGTTTAGTAGAAAGGTACTCCGCCTCTAGGTTTTGAGCAACTTGGAGCTTGCCTAGGAGGTCAACTTCACGCTCTTTCAATTCTTGCGTAGTGATTGTGAGCTCTTCAACTTTCTCAGCTAGGCTTGATGCCTCTGTGCTCAGCACCTCTACATTAGCATCCCTGTCATCATTAATTCGGTGTAGTTCCTGACTTAGTTCCTCAACCCTCTTCATTTCTTCAGCTAGGTTGTCAAGTTTGTCTTCTTTGTCCTCACATTCAATTGTCTTTTGTCTCAGCAACTCGACTAATCTTTCCTTGTCGGAGGCTAAACTTGTCAACTTTGTCTCCAACGCGGTGCACTCTTCAATTTTATCGTGCACGATTTTGGATTGGTCATTGTATTCTTTTTTCATAGATTCCAACTGTGAAGTAATATTTTGTATCTTATTTTCTTTTTCCTCCAATGCTTCCATGATCTTTATTTTCTCCTTTTGAAGGCCTTCAATAATTTCTTTCAGTTTCGTGCATTCTTTGCTTTGGCTGGTCAATTCATCAGCATCATCCATTTGCTTCCTTTCAATAGAATCTAGTTTTAATTTCAACTCATCATACTTATTGATCTTATCAGCCATGCTTGAGATGTCATCTGATTTTTGTTGCAGCATTTTCATTACATCAGAATGTGCAAGATTGAGCCTCTGTACTTCATGTGTTAGGTTAGCACTCTCTTCAGATTTTGACTGCAGTTGTTCTTTGAGTTTGGAGCTAACTTGAACAGCTTCTTCACTCTTCACTCTCAAAACTTGGCATTCCTCCTTTGAAAGGTTCACCTCTCCCTGCAATTTTTCAATGAGAGCTGACTGCTCGGATCCCAAAGCAACAGTGTTTTTAAGTTCAGCACAGTTCTTTTCCAGATCTGTAATGAGGTCAGACTTAGCCTTGACATCAGATTGCAGTTGTTCTATAGACTGCGTTAATTTGCCATTTTCATCCTGCAATGTAGAAATAAGAGATGTTTGTTCTTGGCACTTTTTGTCAAAAGTCCCAAGTTTCTCCTGCAGCTCAGAATTTCTGCTGGATAAGTTTTCTATATCTGTTTCAAAACACTGTAATTTGTTTTGAAGGTTTTCCATGTGCTGTTCTTTTTCTCTAATTTCCATTTCTAGTTTTGTAACTTTGCTACTTTCTTTACTAGATACAGATATTTCCTTTTCTCTCATGTCTTGGATAAGGTCTTTTACTTCTTGGGATTTTTTCTCCATTGCTTCAATTTGAGCAGCCAGTATAGATTCTTGCATAGTCCATTTATCTTCCAACTCAACCTTCTCACTTACTGCACAGTGTAGGCTTAGTTCCAGTTCCGAAACAGTGCCTTCAAGTTTATCGATAAGAGCAGTCTTTTCATCCAGAATCCTAGTTAAGCTTGTCATTTCATTTATTGATTCACCATTTCGTTGGGTGAGCATTTCTAATTGCTGCTGCAATTGATCTGAACTACTTAAAGCAGAATCATATTTTTCCTTTTGATTGATATAGTCTTGCTTCAGCCGGGCTTTTTCTTGCTCCAAATTCTTCAGTTTAGAGTTCAACTCATCAACTGCTGATTTTAATGAGAGTTCAGCAGCCTTAAAATGCTCCTTTAAACTGTTGACTTTGCTTCTTTCTTCACTAAGTTCATTTTCAAGAACAACCAATTTCTTTGAGGACTCCTCCTGGTTCGATTTGCTAGAGGACCTCTCAGATTTCAAACTTGCCTCTAGATCAGCAATTTTCTCCTCTGCTTTCTTTAACTCTTTCTCTAAAACAGTCATTTTTGATTCCACACCACTTTTTTCTGTCGATAGTGTCTGTTCTAAAAGCACAAATTTGTTGCTCACAGAAGCAAGAGACTCTCTGGCATTCTCGGATTCAGTCTTGTAAACATCCAGTTCTGAAGAAACTTTGTTATATTCTTGTGTCAAGTTTGACATAGTTGTTGATATTTTCTCTTGGATAAGTTGCTTGTGTTGGTCCAGCATAGCTATATTTTCACTTTGTATGTTACTGACATCATCTTTCAACAGTTTATGGAGTCCATGCAGTTTCTGAACTGAGTCCAAAATTGGTTTTAGCTGTTCAATCTTGCATTCTTTACCTGCCAAAGTTTGAAGACTGTTTTGAAGTTGAGACACTTCTTCCTGTAACAATGTTGTATTTTGTTCAAACTTCAGTTCCAAGTCTTCTTTGGCCTTCAGTAAAGGACTCAGTTGAGCCTCATTTTCTTCCAGTCTGGAAAGAAAAGAGAATGTGGCATGAAGGAAGAGACAAAAGGAAATAAAAATCAATTACGAAACACAGCTTCCCAAACCTTCCACATACCTCTTGATTGCATCTAACATTCTGTCTTCATATACTTTACACTCAGTCTCTTTAGAAGAAAGATGCTCTTGAAGGTTCTTACTTTGAGCGATGACTTCTTCTAATTCTGCTTTTAAAGGTTTCCTGGCCTCTTCTTTAGCTAAAGACAATTCCTGTGAAAAAGCAAAAATAACACAAGCAGCATAATGAGTAACATGAACAAATTAATGAGTCATTAAAAATACTAGATGTTGCAGTTCTTACCTTTTTGGAGTCCTCTTGGAACTTTAATAATTCACTTTGAAGTTTGGAAACTTTATTATTGGTTGCTGTCAACTGTACTTTGAGCTTCTTTATTTCATCTTCCTTGGACTCTAATTCTAGGTGAATTGTTTGCTTGTTTTTAGCCAATGATAAAGAGGCCTCTTCTTCTCTTTTCTGAATGGCAACAAGCTGTTGTTGTATGGCCTCAATTTTAGCATTAGCAGTGTTCTGTGTACAGAGAGGGCAAAAACACACAGTTCAACCAATAATGATTTAGACAATGAGAAATTGATATTTCGGCAATAGAAGTTAACTCCTGTACCTTGTCTGCTTCCAGTTGCTTGATACTCTCTCGTTTGTTTGTTATATCTTCTTTGCACTTATGAAGTAAAGATTCCAATTTCTTGAGTTTCTCTGAAAGAGACATACAGTTTCAAAGTCAAAAAACAGGAGCGATGGCTTTGTGAAAACTGATTTCCATGCATGACTTGATCAAAATGTGATCACATTACTATGAACAAAAAAAAAAAAACAACCATAAAACAAACATAAAACTACATGATGATGTTTGACATAAACTCACCTTTCAAAGCAACATTCTCAGTGTCCGCATTGTTTGCAGGTTCAGGAGTAAGAAGTACTGCAGTGGAGGAGACTGCAGAGGTGCTGTCTCCACCAGTCAGAAGATCCTCCTGCCCCGATGGTTTGGCTGCAGTTGGTTCGCCTTCATCAGTGACAGAGAGTGACGAATTTGCCTCTGCTTGCGCTTCAGTTTGTGTCAGTGTCTGCTCTGCTTGGCTTCGCAACAGCTTGATCTGCAATTCGGCATCACAATACTAGAGTTGTATTGCAGCCACATTTCAGATGAAGAAGAATGGAAAAGGTTAAAATTAAAAGAATAGTGTGCATGCAAAAATGCGGACAAAAGCAAAATTTACACAGCGCTAGGAATCCAAAGGTTCGGTATTCACAAACAGTAGGAAAATTGCAGAGAATTTAAAAATGACATTTAATTAGGTGCAGAGAGTTCAAAGGATGGGAATGGTTTGAATGCAGCTACTATTTACATTTTATAATTAACAATAAAAAGTTAATAGAGAGATTTAGTGCATTGATTTCTACAAAAGCTCAGAAGCATAACATACAAAAGCAGAAAAAATGTTTTTCTTATTGAAGACAAATGCACTTAATGACAAAATAGGTAAAATGAATAAGCACAGACCTTGGTTTTTAAAGTATCTATCAGATGATCTTTCTCTTCCAAATCAGACCTCAATGCCTCCTCCAAGTGTGCTTTAGCTTGCTTCTCCAAGTTGCACTGCTCTTTCAACTCAGCCATCCTGCGTAAGGCTTTATCCTGACTTTCAGTAAGTATGTGCTAAAACAGTTAATTTTTTTTAAACAATTATGAGGACAAGAAGAAAAAAACCTTAGTTTGACGTTTATACCACTTTTGGCCTACCTTGGCATTTTTGTTATCACGTTCTAGGTCTCTGTAATGGCGAGCCAAGTCGGCATACCGACCTTTGTACTTGTGGTACTTCTGTTGTATTTTTTGGTAAGCAACAACAAGCTGCTCCTTATTAACATTTGGCCCAACTGATTCTGATGCCTCACTGCAAGACTCCAAATCTGACTGAAAACCATTTTAAAAGTTTAATTGCAGAAAATATCATCACTTCCAGCCAGAAATGATTTCATGGTTGAATTCACAAAGATTTTTTTGGGGGGAATAATTACATTAATACAACATGCATGATGATCATTTCTAGATGGGATCAAATTCACATTGTAAATTACCTGAAAATTGTATGTTGAACCGGAAGATTCCAGAACTGGAAACATGAAGGAAGAATCAGATGCGAATGAGCTGACAGATGACGAGCGCAGTCGTCCTAATGTATCACCAAAGGGCATTTTCGGTGTGCTACTATCTTGTTGTAGATCCACACGCATGAACCCAGCACCAGAGCCAGTGTCAAACGAATTTCCCAGAGGGGTAGCCTGTCCACCCCTGTAAGCCACCCCACCTTCTGAAGGCCCTTTCTTCACAGGGGTACCTTCTGGTGTGTCTGAAAGTAGACAGGAGCAAGTTCAAAGGATTAGGGACAGTTTGCACACATCTTACAGACTCAAATAACTAGAACAACCTATTACCGTCAAACTCGCCATCAATACTGAAGTTGTCATTTGATGCAGTGTCAAATGTGGCATTGTTGCTGCTTACAGGAGAGACCACAGCCTGGAACACACAAACATTGACAACTGTAAGTGTTAAGCGTACCGCAAAATTTCCTTAACCTCTCATAAATTTGTGGGTGAACCATGAGAAAAACTGGTAGAAGAAAGTAAAGCAATTAATTTGTAACAAAAATTGAAATTTGCAGACTTTAGAAACAAATTGAAAAGGGTATTTTATTCATTGCAGCATAAATAGGAAACTCGGCCCTTCATAACCTACACATTAACACTGACGCTAGTTTCGCTGTCACTTTAGAGAAAATCATGAGATGAGCGATGCCAAACATAGCTCCTTAAAACTGGTGGACATTTAAGATAAGCGATATTGAAGAGGGGGTCTAACTATTTGAAAACAACAATCATTGACACAAACGTCACTCTACACACCTGAGCCAGCTGCTGCATAGACTGCGTGAATTTCTGCGAGGGAATCTTCACTTCCTCTGTCAGCTTGTCCTTAAGTTTCTTGAACATCTTCGATCTTATCTTTTAACCATGAGCAATTAAAAGTTATGTGGGCCAATGACTTGTCTGTGCAGTTGTTTACGTAGACAGGCAGACTACATTTCCTAAGGGCCGAAAACGAAAACAAAACAACAGCGTGTGTGACCATGTGACCATTACTGACCAGCAGTGTGTGTGGGTCTCACAGCACAGCCAACAGCAGCTTGACAGATTCGACCAGCCAAGTGGAACGTACCCTGGCTCTTTTCGCGAAAAGAAGTGCTCCCAGTCTTGTTGACATGCTTAGCAAGACGTATTTAGCTAATCCTACAGTATGTGAGACCGATTTCGAGCTGATTTAACGTGAGTAAACGCCCTTCAATACATCGCACGTCGAGTCAGTCAAATTATCTCGATGTAAAGTTTGGTGTGTGACAACCATTGTTTGCTTGCAGTGAAGTGGTCTTACCTCGGTGGCGAAACCTCTCCTAGCATTTGGAGCTTTCCTGGGTGAGTTATGAATTATTTTTCTTGTGTAATGACACAAGTGTGTACTGATATCAGGTCTTTTCGTATGAACATGAGATTGTCGGACGACAAGGTCAGGCAGCGCATCGATCTCGGCCCGTTCCTGGACAGGGTGGAGGTGGGGCATTTGTCTTTGTCGAAGATTTGCTTCTTTTTCCTCAACTAACTATGAAAGTACACCTCGCGGACTCTTAGCTCGAATGGCAGCTTGTCTTCCGCCTTCACTTAACGATCTTGCATCATCCGACAGGCCTTCGTTTGTCAAGTAGGGTTATATGGCTCTGACTCCATAGGTGGGGGATAGAGCTTCCCCCAGTATTCTGTTCCTTTTTTTTTTTTTTTGTTTTTTGTTTTTTGTTGGAAGGGGAATAGGGTAAAAAAGGTAACTTTAATAATTTTTGTGTTTCAAACAAAACGTTTATTTTTTTTTTGTATTTTTTGTCACTAGAAGTAGGCACTACTGTTTCTAAGATTTGGAATAAGTAGTGTGAACTCTAACATCTTAAGTGTAAATGCTTAATTTTTTTAAAATTTTTTTTCAAGATAGTCTAACATAGTGATTCTAAAAGAAATGCTGCATGTTCCTCTCATGAAAATGCTCACTTTTTCTTCCATTCACATCCATGATTTGCTTTGTCACTTATCTTTACTTCACTTTTCATTTTCACTATCACTATGCCTGCCTACATAAGGAATGTGGTATCTGTGAGGGTGTGTTTAACAAGCAACTTCCTAAACTGCTACATTGACACCAAACGTGTTGGTTCTAGTTCTAGAACTAATTCTAAAATTAAGCTTCTTTTTATGTTTACATAGAGATTTCATATCTTAATTTTAAAGAAAGGTAGTTTAAATTAATGTAGGGGGCATTGATTATTAATTTTCAAAAATGATTCAAGGAAATTTTTTCTGAACTCGGAGTGTTGTTTTTCCATCTCATAGGCCGTCAGGATTTGGTCCCAGGCCTGTTAATTTAGATTTTAGCAAGCCTTTGTGACATCAGTCTTGTTAGATTTCTCAGTAGCTTGCGTTGTTGCCCCTCATGGAAATACTCATTCTTCGATCGGCGCAACTACCTCCGCTACTGCTGCTGCTGCTTCCTCCATGATTTGATGTCTGGCTTGAGAGAGATGGGGGCGGATAACGCCACCGCCTTGGTCTTGATAGCAAATGACCATCAGTCGAAGCTCTAGCTCGGAAAGGTGGCAAAGTGGTTTCAGCAGGAGTTTCACCTGCACTGCTCTTTCTATCTGTGATGCCTTCTTCCAACTCGTCCTCTTCGTCTAGTTCCACTTCTGTCCATCGACGTCCTGTAAAAGAGATGGACTCTGTTAATATTTTTGTTTTTGTTTTCTGCGCAGGGTTCACATCTCAAATCCAAGATGGATTCTTCCATCAGCGAGGTGCAGTTTGGTGACCCGGGTGAAGGCTCTCACACCAACCAGTCCCAGTATCCAAACAACATGAGTTCATTCGGGTTGTGTCTGGATTCTGATGATGATATGACTGACAGAACAAAATACAACTCTAAGGAAAATGTGAGTTTCAAGAGTGAAGAAGGAATGGACAGTTCTGATGCAGCCTATGGATCTTACGAGAGTGCTTCTGGATGCCTCTCTCTACCACCATCTGGAAACATTGCATCAACTCCATTCGACTCCTTGAAGCTATCGTGTAAAACCGAAAGTGGTTTCAAGGCTCAGAAACTGGAGGTGATGGGTCCGTTAGAATCAAGCCAAGAAGATAAAATGGACACACATGAAAATACAGAGCTGTTCGTTGCCAATTCTGAGGAAATGGCTTGTGCAGATACTTTCACTTCTGCACCATGCACTAATGATAATGAGCCACCTCATCCTGGTGAAAATTCTGCGGTTTCTGAAAGTGTTGAAGGATCAACATCTGATGAGACTTCTACCGAAACCAACTTTCATTTACAACTTGATCTTGAAGAAAAGGACGGTGATGATGAGAACAACCTGGAATTTAATGTTTCTCCGACTAAGATTGCCACTGATGCTTCTCCAAGGAAAGATACAGGTGTGCTAAAATTTGACATGTTATCTGATGAAGAGGAGGTTAGTTTTCCGAAGTCTGGTGCTGAATCATCTAGTTCCAAAGATGAAAGCCCTAGCAGGCCGAGTTGTTCAGGCACATCCCATCGGGGCATGAACTCCTTGAGCTCTGATTCAGAAGATGATCTACCAGACATACACATGGCTCTGCCATTCAAGAAACGCAAGAGAGACAGCCTAGTGGAAACAATTGGTAGCAGTAGCAGTAGCTGCAGTGAAGATGAGACTATAGATTATGCAAACTTAACTCCAGAACAAATAAAGGCGTTGATTGAACAAGCAAAGAACATCAAGCACAAATGTCTGTGTCCGAAGAGGAAGTTGGCCGACTTGGCTGAAAGGGGTCCTACAAAGCCATCAAGTAAATGCAATATTGGAAAAGGTGATTGGCGGGAGAAGCACCCTTGTCCAGACTGTGCGGGTGGTGTGTGCCATGAGACTCACAAACATGGTAGAGGTAGAAAAAGGTATACCCATACTCGCATGACTCTGGCAAAGACGAGAGCCAGAGGAACAATTGGGCAAGACGTTCCAATTATCGACCTTTCGGATGAAGAAGGAAGTCCTGTACCCAACAGAGTAGCTTCAGAGGTCACTATTACCACAGCACCACCTGGTGAATGTATAGTTCTCTCCTCATCAGATGACGACAGTGATATTGTTTGTGAAGGTGTTATAAAACCCGACCCCAAGCCGCAGGAACCTAGGCCCTTGGGCAGCTACCTCCTTAGTGGAAGCCCTGATGTGGAGGTTCTCAACGTTGCCTCAGCCTCAATGGACGGGGCAGCAGCCTCCTCTTCAGCCGCAGCTCCCCTGCCACCTCCTCCTGGCTATGTTGGCTTTCCGCCCCCTGTCCCCTCATCAATACCGGGACTGCCAGTCCTTCCCATGCCTGCGGATATGGATTTATTATGGCCTGACTTTGATAACGAGGCCTGGAATGAAATGTTCTGTGATAATATGCTTGGACCAGCGAATATGCCAGGCATGCCTGCAACTACTGCACAAGCAAGCACCGCCGCCGCTGCTCCTGCCAGTGCACCAGAACGACCAGCAAGTCCAGAAGGGTGGAGCTGTCCAATATGCTTGGAATCAAAAACTGCAGTCCCTGAAATTATGTCGACAACATGTGGTCATATATTTTGCGGGACATGTATTCGTTCAGCAGTGAAGCTTCACAAGAAGTGTCCAACCTGTCGGAAAAAGCTGACAGTGAAACAATTCCACAAAATTTTCCTTTGAAGACTTTCTTAGGTATTTTAATGTACATATGACCATTGTAAATTTCAGTCCAAAAATATGGAAGTTGTTTGCAAACTGGTTTTTAGGTGATTGACCTCTTCATTCAGTGGGAGGATTATGTCTAGGGATGGAATTAAAATGTAAATGTTGCTCCTTTATTTATTTTTTGTTCATAGTGGGCAAGATTGGAGTGTGATAGCAATAAGATGTGTTGGCATTATGTCCACCTTGCTCATTCTTGGTTTTCAGGAGCAACTTTAGAATCATTTCAATGTTGCATACAGCTGTTTCATGCATTTATATTTAATTTTGTTTGATTATTAGTTAACTTGACAATTTATTTATGTTTTACTAATGTTTTTATTTCAGAACATCCCCTCGTGGTGTCTAATTTTATTTTAGTTTCTTATGGTACTCTTTTTAGAAACTGTGATGAATCAAAGCAATGCTCAAATATATTCTTGTTTCCATGGTGTGTGATGGATTGCTCCATAAGGAAGAACAAGTATTTGTGAAACGAAAGCATTTCTGTGCTGCTTTGATGAAAAGAGTTCTTGTAAGTGTATATAGTGAAGATTTAAAACAAACCTGTGATCTTCATGGGGAAGCTATTATAGAGTACCCAGTTTGTTTCTCTCCCACAGCTCCCGATGATTTTAAAATTGTACTTATTCTTCATTGATCATTTATAACCTGTGTGTTTTTATTTTATCCCCTGCCCATTTAAACTGTATCAACGGAACAAATTGTGTACTCTGCTCTAGCTTCCCCTCTTTATGAACTGTATTTTGCTGAACAGCTATTCTATTAAAGTTCGAAACCAAACGTTGCGACTTTGATTGACTCTGCCCTCACACCTACCGAGACTGCTGAAGGGGTTGGTAATGCTGGTCCTGCTGGAGAGCAGGCCCGTCGTACTCCCGTTGATGGAGCCACCGAAGGAACGCACGCTGGACGACTCCGGGCTCGCCATGGACGCCAAGGACTCGTATCGGGAGTCGCTGGAAGAGCGCTTCAGCTTGGGGCACTTGTTGTGCACCTTCCAGAAATGGCACACGTCGCGGAACACTGCCCACACCTGTCACACACACGGGCATTCATTTGTGAGCTCATCTAAATTTGACCAAAACTATGTTGCTTTTCAAAGTCTTCCTAAAATTAGTCTTATACATTTAAGATATTGCAGACCATAAAATTGAGTAAAGAGCTCGCAATTTTTAAAAAGAAAACCTATACCGTATGTTTAGTTAAACAATATCTGATCTGAAAAAATGTTTCTTTTCAAAGTCTTCTTAAAAAAGCCCATGAGTGTTCAAACTGACTCAAAACTGTAGTTGAGTGCCAACTGCCAACAAACTTAGTGAAAGGAATTCAATATAGTATATCAGGATATTGCAGACCATAAAATTGAATCAAAAGCTCACATTTTTTATGAGAAACTATGCCCTATGCTTTAATTAAGAGTGACACTCTAAAGTAGCTTTCTTACGGAGTCACTAGCAATTTTTGAATTAATGGTGACTTTCAAAGACAAATTTATAAACATCGATAGTTTAATAGATGAAGGTTCAATGATGAAGACCAAGTGGTTGATAATAAGAGATGAACAAAGGGAAATAACTCATCAAATGTAATGCAATTTGTCAAAATGCACTTGTATGGGTAGGTTGGGGAAGAAATTGAATCGAAGATGAAATTGATGTAGACTTTGAGGCAGCCCTCGACCAGTTATTTCAACTAAAAATGAAAATCTGAGTGAGAAATCCCCGCCAGACGGATGTCGAGATGTCTGCCAGCAGGTCGCAGGGGGTTGTACTTTTCTTACCCTGTACTTTTCTTCCCCAACTTCCCCCTACTTTATAAATTTTAAATTCATCTGAAATTTGAACCGAACTTTGAAATTGTTTTTCCTTATGAAGTGCCTGCTTTTTTTTCTTTTCTTTGTTGTTATTTATTTTTTCATTATAATTTTTTTTTTGGGGGGGGGGGCTAGCGTTGCAGAGGGAAGGAGGGAGAATCATGCCAAATTGGAGGTAGGTCTTACCTGGTCGAAATCCTCCCGGACCGAGATTTCGTGGAAGCAGACACAACCGATCTCCTTGCTGCGTCGCTGACCGTCCTCCACGGACACCATGCGGTCGCCCCACTGGTCGGTCTTGTTGCCCACCAGCATGACGGGGACGTCGGCGACCGCGTCCTGCAACGACCACGAGAATCCGCCACTCTAACGCGCTGCTCAGTGCTCAGCGAGGACTCGCCCAGTTCAGGACACCGTGCACGTGCAGTGCAGGAGGACCCAGCCGCGAGGACTCGCCAGGCCTTGCAGTCACAGGGGCAAGGTAGGCCACCAACCCCGCACCTCTGCATGGCGGGACGGGTTGGTGGCCTACCCTGCCATTACCATTACCATTAAGGGCTAGACCACATATGATCGTATGCCATTTCGGGCCCGACACATGCCCGCCTGCACTGCAAAACGGGACATGGTCGTCCTTACTAGGGGAGAACTTTACCTCGGCGGGGAAGAACCTCAAGCGGCTACATGCCCCTGGCTCGCAGAGTGCCTTCCCCGCGGGTTAGTGACAGGCCTTTCCCGTGAGGGTTGTGCCGTCCCTACCCTGGGCCAGCCTCTTTTGAGCTTGACCGAGTCCGGAACCCGCCTGCTTCGTCCCTTATTCTCGGGAACAGTTGCACCTTCGGTGTCTTCTTCTCTTCTTTCTTGACGCGTCTTGGTAATTGTTACTTTGCTTCACCCCTACCCTTTTCTTGATGTGACCTCTCGGCTGGAACAGGACTCTAACCCGAGGCATTACGCCCACCCCATACTCGTGTTCGGCCGCCACGGCGTCCGTCGGTGTGAGGCCTGGAGCCCTTCCCCGCGATGCTCCTCTGTGTCGCTCTGCATGCTGTTGTAGGCCTGCGACTACGAGAGAGAGGGCATGTGCCCCGTCTCCTCCGTGCAACACAACATGCAACGACTGGTTAGGTGCGAGGCTGGTGTTCTTCGGTCACAAGGGTCGTGGGGGCTGGAGGGGCGTTGCGCTGTATCCGCTCTCGGGGTGTGGGACAGCGCGTTGCTCTCGGGCCCCGGCTGGCCGGCCGGTCTGTCTGCTGAGCGCCAATCCGCGGCCCATGCTGGCAGCCGGCCGCGCCATGCGGACGGGGTTTGTCGTGCTCCCGATGGGAGCGCCCGATAGGTAGGCAACCCCTTGGAGCCCACCGTTGTTGGTGCTGCCTACACGCCGGGCGCGTAGGTGGTTGGCGCCGCATCGCCGCTGTGACCGCGACCTCGGCAGCCGTGCGTCCCCTTTTTACTGCAGCGGTGGCGGCGACGGCGGGGAGGGGGTGACCGCCCGGTCAGCCAACCGCAGAGAGGGGGACCCCAAAAACCAACCCACAACCAGCCCAAGAACCATAACCAAAGTTAAAATCGGCACTCATCCATAGGTGTAGGTGTCTGTCTCCTTCCTTATGACTCCAGGGGCGTGATGTTATCCTGGTGCGCCCCTCCGGGTGCGCAGTAGTTTGTCTGGTGTCTAGGAATGTGGCAACACGGGACGTTGTCGCGCGGGACCTGGCAATCTGCATTGCCTGCCACTGCACTGCATCTGGTCGGCGCCGTCGGTGCGAGTCGAGCTGTCCGAGCCTAGCCGAGCCCCAGGGGACGCGGTCGGTGTGCCGAGCCGGGGAAACCCCAACCTCCGGGGGTCCCTGCTCGGCATGGCCCGGCGGGCCAGCCGGTCCACTCCGGACACCGCCTCGTCGCGCCGTCCCTCTCGCTCCCCTTTGGGGGGAAACCCCCGAGTGCGAGAGAGACCCCAAAAAAGGCACACCCCGGACTCAGCCCCGCAGGGGGTGCGCTGCACGTGCGCCGCCGGTGCGCGCGCTCGCTCGCACAATGATGGCGACTTTTCCCGTCCGCTACAGGGCCCCGCCGAGAAATTTCCCGCGCAGTGAATGCTTCTCTGATCGCCTTGTTGAACACGGGTGGACGGCACATCGGGTCAGCATGGCAGGTAGGGGGGCGACGCAGGACACACACAACCGCTGCACTGGTGGATCCATGGCCGGGGCCGCTTGCACAACGGACGCAACGGACTGGGTGTTGCACTGAACACCGCACTGAACACTGCACTGAACACTGCACTGAACACTGAACACTGGGCACTGCGCGGACACCGATTGGGGCACTGGCTGCTGGTTTTTCGCGGTACGTCAGCCCTGCGACCGGCAGGTCGGTGGACACGGTCGCCGCTGTAGTGGCCTGGCTGGACGGACGCTGCCTTGTAAACAAGGCGCCAAAAACTAATTTGCACAGAACTCGGACACTGTTGCACCGATCACCGCGACACTTCGAGCCTCGACGCACGGCGTCCACACGGACCGACTGGTACCACGTTCGACCCGGAAAACCGACTTTGTACCACCGAAAATCAAGGACAAACACGGAGCGACGTGACCCGCGTTGAGTCGACTCGAGCCCAACATGGCGACCGCCCCGGCTGGCCGGCCTACCCTGCAGGCGATGATTGCGATTAATGCCTCGACCACAAATGATCGTCTGGCTTTCAGGCCCGCCTCGCCATGTCGGTGATTCACCAGGACGTGACGGGTCGTCCCTACTGAGAGGAGTGGTTTTGTCGGTAGACCGCGGGTTCGTACGCCCACAGAATCTGGGCTTGCAGCGGGAGCAGCTTTTGGACCCGGCGGGCGCTACGTCCTACAGGAACGAGGCTGCGGCTGGCAAAAGGGGAGGCTAGCCCTAAACGAGGCTTTACGTGTCGAGCCTGTAAAAGCGGCTTTTTCCGATAAAAATGGTCGACCATCTCAGATTCGTCTGAAATTGATATGGATTGCTAGGGGCCTATGGAACAGATGTCCGGTGCCCAATGGTCGTTAACACATTCTATTTGGGGTGAAAATGGCAGTGCCCATCCCATGACACTACAGTAGTTGAGTTCTGCTGCGGTGGAGATGGGTTGCCTAGCTCGTTTTCGTCGCTCTGTCTCTCTCGCACTCAAGGAGCGTCTCGTGTAGGTGCGAGAGAGACAGAGGGTCTCTCGGAATCAGTGATCAGTCTGCGGGAAAAAGTGGCGAAAAGAAAAGCGCGGACCTTGGAACTGTTGGAACCAAGGCGCCGCTTGCGCTTGTTGTAGTTGATGAGGAACTTGAGGCGGTTGCACTCGTCGAAGGAGCACTTGTCCGTCACGGAGTACATGAGGATGAAGGCCTCGGCCCAGCGGATGTTGGCCTCCAGCGTCAGGCACTCGCTCTCCTGGGACAGAGAAACACGAGGGGGTAAACACTCCGAGAGTACTCGGTATTACGCGGAAGTACGCTGTGTTACGGGGATGTTACACGCGAGGGGGTAAACACTCGCGTAATACCCTGTACACAAAAATCGTGTATTACGCGTAATACACGTAATTGTAATACCATTTTGGGGCTAAAAATGCCAAATTTTGGCATTTTAGTGCCGTAATACACGTGTTATGTCCCCGAAATACCGCGTAATACCGAGTACTCTGTACACGATTTCGTGGAGTGTTTACCCCCTCGGTTACACGGGTATTACGGCATGAAAATGCCAAAATTTGGCACATTTCTCCCAAAAATGGCATTACAATTACGTGTATTACGCGTCATGCACGTTTTTTGTGTACAGGGTATTGGTATTACACGAGTGTTTACCCCTTCGGAGAAACACATTGCAATTGGACAGAGAGAGGGGGGGAGACCGGGGGAGGGCGATGAGAGAGAGAGAGAGAGAGAGAGAGAGAGAGAGAGAGAGAGAGAGAGAGAAAATTGAAATTGAAATTGAAATTGTTTTTATTGAGGGTTCATGTAAAAGGACTAAATAGTCCCACTGTAACATAAACCCGCTCTCATTACAGTAGTTTTAATTTTGAGCAGCAGGTGACTAGAAAAATAATAATAATAATAATACTTATAATAATACTTATAATCACAAAAGAATGTATTGTAGTACAATCACGACATTAGGATGTTAAAAACTGTATTCTTTACAGTCTTGTATGTTCGATGTAACAAGTTATAGAGTTTGAATTGATTCCACAGCATTATTGATTGAATGTGTACGGACGTTCCGTACTTTTTTCCGTACCTCCGGACCATTTTCGTCTGTACATTTTCCGGACAAAACTACGGAATTTTTTTCAGTGTATCGAAGAGGTGGGTACGGAGAAACGGAAAGACATTACTAGGAGACGAATTCTGTTTTCCGCGAGGGCGAGGGGCGAGGTTGTCCGTGGGGATAAGCTTGTCCTTTCACACGATGCGGACCGCGGAGCACTCTTGTTGCGGACGCAAGCCACTCTGCCCTTTCGAGGCTCGGTCAAAGTGCAGTGTGTGCACACCGCCACGAGCGCAGTTCTCCGTGTTTGGTAGGCCGCTCTCACCGGCTTACACAAAGGCTTTAATGGTGTGCCCTGTGGAGCGCGTAACAGCCTTTGCATGCCGAGGGGGTAACCACTCGCGTAATACCCTGTACACAAAAACCGTGTATTACGCGTAATACACGTGATCGTAATACCATTTTTGGGTCAAATGTGCCAAATTTTGGCATTTTAGGGCCGTAATACACGTGTAATACGCCCGTAATACAGCGTAATACCGAGTAGTCTGTACATGATTTCGTGAAGTGTTTACCCCCTCGTTGCATGCCCTCTTGTGGCTTTGGCGCTTTTTGCGTTGTTTGCGCTGTTCGCGTTGCAGCAGGGCAGGGGGATGCAGGCGCCTGCCGGGCGTGCGCCGGGGCACGTTTTCAGCCCCACGTTCCCCCAACGAGACTGGAATCGATCACCGAACACAAAGGTTCTCTATTAGATTGGCCTTTGAACGAGGAGCCATTGCCGCCCTCGCGCGTTCGGTTCGTCCCCTGTTTCAGGACGGTGGGCTTCAAAGGCAGAGAGCGTCCAGAGCCACGACGACGCCCGCCTGGTCCTCTGGCCAGCTTGCCAGCTTTGCGTCGACAGGGAGTGGCACTGAGTGGCACGGAGTGGCCGTGCAGGGGCTCACGCAAGGGCGAATCCACACGGTAAAAACGGAACCTGGTTTTCCCTGGAATCCAAAGGTGAAGGCATAGGCAATTTCCAGGGAGTTCCTGGGAAAACCAGGAACCGTTTTTACCGTGCAGAGACGGGTGGGGGGGGGGGAGATGTCCCAAAAGTTGCCTGCCTACAGGGGCTACGTGCGACTAGTTGCCTCCGTCTTGGGGGAGGGGGGAGGGGACGCATCCATCGCCGCCCCCCTTTCCCCTGGATCCGCCCTTGACGCGTAGGGCTTACACTGTACGTATATTAATTTGTAAATGTCCTTGCCACTCCAGCGCCGCTGCGTTTTGAACGCCAAAATTTGACCTTCTGGGCCTGAATCGCCCTCATAGATTGCCAAAAGATGGCTCTCCAGCGGCCTGGGACGCCAAATTCTAGCAATCTCAGAGGCTCATACGGGGAGGAGGGGGGGGGGGAGCATAAGAGTGCTGTTGGCCTTTGCGTCAGCATGTTGGCCATAGTTTCTGGGGCTAACGTGGTGGCCTTCGTAACGGAGCGTCATGGAGCAGGAGCGGATCCGGGGGGGGGGGGGGAGGGGCGATGGGGGCGTCGCCCCCTCCTGAAGGCGGCGAAGCCGTCTGAAAGGTAGGCAAAAAGTCGCACATTACCCCTGTAGGTAGGCAACTTTCGCGACATCCCTCCCCCTGAACCCGTCCCTGGATCCGCGACGGGGAGGGGGAGGCGACGAGTGTTCGCGACAGGGCTCCAACTCCACCTGAAGGGGGCGACGACGGTCGGCAACAAGTCGCACTTTGCCCAGGGCTGCGGCTAGCCCCAATGGATTTGCAGTGTACCTAACGATTAACCGGGCCCTCGACCCGACCCCACTCACTCACTTCCCGAGTCCCCTTGGACCTCTACTCACGTGGGGCTGCGCCGCAGTGTCGAGGATCTCGAAGAAGACCATCTCGTTGTCCATGATGGTGTGGAAGCTGTAGACCTTCTCCAGGTTCGGGTCGTACTCGCCGATGAACCTCCTCGTGATGAAGCGCACCACGAGCGCTGCCAACAACAGTCAGGGGCTGCACTGTGAAACCGTGAAACCCAACAACTCCACGACTTGAAATTCGGCACCGATTCGGAGAGTCGTTTCCGTCGCTGTCTCTCTCGCACTCAAGGACCGTTTCGTAAGGGAGCGAGAGACACGCGGAAAAACTCCATCATTGTGGTGGTCGACTTTGTTCGATACACTGAAAAAAATTCCGTAGTTTTGTCCGGAAAATGTACAGACGAAAATGGTCCGGAGGTACGGAAAAAAGTACGGAACGTCCGTACTTGTCCCATAAGAACTCCTAATCGGGTACGGAAAAAAAGTACAGAAGTTCCGTAGTAGGACAGGTACGGACGGTCCAGGCAAATTATTGACCAGACATGTTCCGTACTTTTTCCGTACTTTTTCTCTCGCAGTGTAGGCTGAGTTCGAAAAGTCTTTTTCGATTGCAGCCACCGAATTCAGCTCAGCCCATCGTGCAAACTTGACTACCACAACGAAGGATTTCTTTTTCCGTTGCAGACCGACGGAAACGACGACTCTCGGAATCAATCTGCAGTGGGCAAACACCTGAGGCAGCTGCAAGCGACTGTGGGGAGGGAAAGGGGGGGGGGGACAGGTGCTTCCCGCCGCTTCCCGCCTGCACAGGGAAGGCCAAATATTGGCGTTCCCGGCATCATCATCATCATCATCATCAGCGCTGTTACGCCTCAGCAGACCTCTAGCGTTCGAGTCGGGGGCGGCCTATTTCATGGTCCCTTGAATCACCGCGAAAGATTTGCAGTGCGGCTGCAGTGCGGCTTGAGTGAGGCGGAAAGAAAGAATGGTCGGAGCGGAAGTCGGAAATGACAACTATAGGAACAGTTTTGACCACGCCGCCCTTGGGGAATTCCCTACACTGGCAAAACAAAGGCTAGGGCATAGACTCTCTTTTTACGGTGAAAACGGTTCCTGGTTTTCCCTACCATAGGCTTCATGGGAAAACCAGGTAACGTTTTTACCGTGTTAGGCCCTTTAAAGACGTAAATCGTTCTATGCCCTTGGGAAGGGCGTGAATGGTATAGGACTTTTAGGCAATATTTTAATGCCCTTCCAAAAGGCATTACGATTCACGCCGCTCCAGGGGCGTAAATCGTTGACGCCCTTAAAGGGCATCATTTTAATGCCTTTGTTACACTAGTGTAAGGGCGGCACTGGTTGTTGTTGATGTTGTTGCTGCTGCTCGGCCTCCTCTTCTTCCGCCCTTAACCCGCTTGGAAATGCGCGCCGCCTTAAGGGCCAGGCCTTGGGCCAGGCGGTCCCGGGGAGCTAATATCACAACAAGAGTGCCCTTCTCGTCCTCGCCGCCAAGTGGGCCAGAAGACCGGCGGAGGCGGCGAAAACTCTAGACGCGTTTTGAGCTCCAGCGTCGCTAAATGGGACTCGAACCGAACGTGTGACCGACCCCACCAATGGATTTGCTCTCGAAACGAGGAGTCCATTGGTGGGGTCACACGTTCTGTTCGAGTCCTGTTTAGCGACTCTGGGAGCTCAAAACTCGTCTCGAGTTTTGTCCGCTTCCACCGGTCTTCTGGCCCACTGTGCGCCGGACGCAACCACACCGCAATCCCAAAGGCCCAAAGCCACTTGAGTAAAATTTATTCGCTGTAGGCGCGAATCCGTTCGCCGCCCCAGGGAAGGATGGCGCCAAGGGGAGGGGGAAGGGGGTGGAAGGTGCGCAGTGCGTTTGACGTGGAGGCCGTGCGGTAAGGCGGCGCGGACCGACGCCACGCCGCCGGTAACCACCACCACACCTCCACGACGCAGGGCTGGCTAGGGCTTGCGGCTTCGGCCACGGCGCCCCACCCCACCCCGCCACGGCACGCCCCACCCCGCCCCGCCACGCCACGCCACGCCACGCCCCACCCCCACCCCGCCACGCCACGCCCCACCCCACCCCCCCCCCCCCCGGCTAGCAACACGGTGCCGACGACGCCAACACTTTTCCGTGTAAATTCAGCCCGCGGCGCTCGCCTCGGCCCGTTCTGTCTCGCCAGCTGACTGATTTCGAGAGCCTTTTTTCGTCGCTCTCTCTCTCTCTCGCACCTGCACGGGACGCCCCATGAGTGCGAGAGAGACGGAGCGACGAAAACGACCCTCGGTCTGCAGGGCTTGGGTCGCTCGCGGCCGCCACGTGCCCCGGGCGAGTGGCTTTGCCTTGTTACGTCGCGCGTGCCGCGTGCCCGGCCTGCCGTGACACTGTGACAGGGGCGGCGCGGGGCGGGGCGAGGCACGGTGGGCCGCGGCGCGCGAGTGTCTGGTTACCGATTGTCGCGCGGAAAGGCGAGCCGACGAGGCAAACACGACAGTGATTTAATGAACAGGACGCACGTGGTCCAAACGCACGCACTGCGGAACCTGGGGGACTCCCGCACGGCACTGGCGCGGCACGGCACAGCACAGCACGGCAGGGCCGTAGCCGCCTCCTCGCGCCAGGGGGGGGGGAATTTTCGTCTGCATTGAAGGTTGCCTACCTATCAGGGGGTCCCGCAGGTGCTTTTTCAATTTTTAACACACGATTGAATGTATTAAAAGGGTGGTAAATGTAAATTGTTAGCGAGCGAAGCGAGCTCAGAAAATTTGCGGTTCTAACGTGTGCGAGCGAAGCGAGCGGAGAAAATTTGCGGTTCTTAGGGCTTTAGGGTGGAAAACGTAATTTGTTTGCAATTAAAGCGAGCTCAGAAAATTTGCGGTTCTTAGGGTTACTTGGTGGTAAACGTGTGCGAGCGAAGCGAGCTGAGAAAATTTGCGGTTCTTAGGACTTTTTAGAGTGGTAAACGGCGTAATTTGTTTGCGAGCAAACAGAGCTCGCGCGGGAAGAGAGAAAATCTGCGGTTCTTACGACTTACTCGGGTGGTCAGTGTTTGTCCGAGAGCTGAGAAAATTTGCGGTTCTTAGGGATATTTAGGCTGGTAAATGTAAATTATTTGCGAGCGAAGCGAGCTGAGAAAATTTGCAGTTCTTTGGGTTATTAGGGGTTCCCAAGAACCCCTATTGTCCGAGGTCCGTGGATTCTTTCCCCCCCCCTCTCCGATTTTCAAATAAACAACTCTAAACTATTTCAACCATGAAAAAAAACGAAAATTCCAATTTTTTTCGAAAATTCATCGTGGAAATTTTCCGTAAACGCGAAAAACATAAATTTGCAACAATCGAAAACGAGAACTTAATGATATGAAAAAATGGTTCAAATAAAAAATGTGCCACTCCTCAAAACTAAACCTCCTGGCTCATCAAAGTAACAAGAAATCATATATGTTCTGAGCAAATGGTCAAAACATGAAAAAAAATCTCCATGGCAACGGCATGGTCCCATCGTACCACCCGTCAAAATTTGAAGTCGCCCATTTAAAAAAATCTAAACGCCGTGAAATTCGAAAATGCTAATGCTAACACATTGCACGGTGTCTCAACGTTGGAACATCTTTAAAGTCTGTCACTACTAAAAAGTTCGTAGCAGAAACGACACATGAAATTAATTTTCGTGGGTTGGCACCAATATGCTTCCCGTCTGCGCCCTTTCGAAAATCGCGAGGCTGAAAGAACGAACAGGCGCCCATTGAAACTGCCCCTCCATTGTTGCTGAGGTTGGATTGATTGGCATGCTCTCAAAGGCTGCGGTTGTCTTGTCATGTTTTCCTCGATTTTCAACCAGTTATGGAAACGGGAACACCGTGCAATGCGATTAGCATTGGAATTTTTTACACTTTTTTAAAAGGTATTCTCGTGAATTTCTGTGTCTACATTGCTTGCACCTGGCCAGATTCCTTGCCCCCCCTTGCCCCCCTGGCCAAAAGTTGGGGGGGCATTGCCCGCCCCCCCCCCCCCCCCCCCCCCCGGGCAGCTACGGCCCTGCAGCACGGCACGGTACGGCACTGGCGCGGCACGGCACGGTGCGGTGGTTTGATTCGTGTCTAGCCGCCTAAATAGGCAGGACAAGCGGGCCGACAAGCCGCTCTTCTCATCAAAGATTAAACTTGTCATCGACGGGCGACCGCCCCACTGTGCGCCAGGCAGTCCTGCAGCCGTGCATGCATGGCAAAGTGGGCAGCACACCACCGGCGGCACGCCAACGCCAACACGCACATCGGAAGGGCACGGCCGACCCGGACCGGCCCCACTGTGAAACCAGGTAGGACGCACAGTGGGCCAGAGTGCAGGCGCCGGCGGCCAAAACTCTAGACGCGTTTTGAGCTCCAGAGTCGCTAAACGGGACTCGAACCGAACGTGTGACCACACCAATGGATTGCTCCCCGAACGAGGAATCCATTGGTGGGGTCACACGTTCGGTTCGAGTCCCATTTAGCGACTCTGGAGCTCAAAACTCGTCTAGAGATTTGGCCGCCTCCGCCCACTGTGGGACGCCGCACTTGGAATGCGGAGGCGTGGAAGTTTGCAGTCCCCGCGCTTGGACGGGCAGAGTTTGCAGTCTCCACACGCTGCAAGTGAGGGTCCACGTTTGCATACCGTGCCGAGAGAGAGATAGAGGGGCTCTGTGAACAACTCCACGCCGGAAGTGGGGAATACGAATCCATACACTGTAAGACGTAGAGTGCACGGGCCAAAAAGCAACCCAAGCGCGTATGTGTTTGTGGACCAGCCTGTATGACATGTATGTATGCGTGTATGTGTGTGTGTGAGTGTGTGTAGGTGTGTGTGTGTGGTTGACACACACACAGAGGCTGGTCCACACACACGCCGGCGAAAGCCCATGTCGCCTGTCGAGCAGCCTCAAACCTCCCCCACCCCCGCCAGCACGCTACACTGGCACGCATCTTGGAGCCCAATTGGGCGTAAAATGGGTAAGTCGAGCGTGGCCCCGCGACGGCCCGGCGCGGTGGCGTGTAGTGTGTGGCCTTTGCGGGCGGCCGAATAATTTAGCATTAATGCGGCGTCGTCCCGCCGCCGTCGTGGGAAGCACACAGTGGGCCGGAAGACCGGTGGAGGCGGCCAAAACTCTAGACGCGTTTTGAGCTCCAGAGTCGCTAAATGGGACTCGAACCGAACGTGTGACCCCATGGGGTCACACGCTTCTGGAAAGGGCGTTAAAATTTTGCTTGAAATTCCTATACCATTTCAGCGGCCGTTGGGCATAAGGACGTAAGTCACATGGGGAACCCATTGAAAATAGGTTGTTCTGTCCGATGACCACTCATTTACGCCCTTTCCAATGGCATAAAACAATTTATGCCCTTGGGAAGGGCGTAAAAGTGTATTTAAACCCTTGGGAAGGGCGTAAAAGAGTATTTATGTCCCAAAGGGCATAATTTTTATGCCTTTGTTTTACCAGTGTAGGCAAAGGGGTACGCTTGTTCCGAAGCACCTTTTTCATCCAGGGTCCAATTGAACGAATCGGAACGTGACGTCACGCTCCTGGGACGAGAGTGCATCTCCCCCTCCTGGACCTTCTGGGCGTCTCACCGCGAATGCGGGAAGGTGTGCCTGCTTCGCCTGCTTCACAGTGGGCCAGAACACCGGCGGAGGCGGCCAAAACTCTAGACGCGTTTTGAACTCCAGAGTCGCTGATTGGGACTCGAACCGAACGTGTGACCCCCACCTATGGATTGCTCTCCGAACGAGGAATCCATTGGTGGGGTCACACGCTCGGTTCGAGTCCCATTTCGCGACTCTGCAGCTCAAAACGCGTCTGTCTCGAGTTCTGGCCGCCTCCACCGTTCTTCTGGCCCACTGTGTGACGGCGTGGCCAGTAACAACTTGTAAGCGGGTCGGCGTGCAGTCGGTCCGAAACGGGAGAATCAATTATCACCCATTTACATCGAGGGTCCGCGGCCGAAGCGGCGACTCTGTAAGAGTGCCGCAGTCGCCGCAGTCGAACACCAAACCTCTTCCTGCCTGCAGACCACCTGCGAGCTGCTGCAATAGCAAGAGGAGTCACATTTCTTCTTGTCTACGAGTGCAGGGTGATTCCGTGCGTAGGGGCCGTTTTAGCCACCTAAGAAAGTCAAGTAATCAATCCTGCTTGTTCGGCCGGAATTTGGCCTAGATCGCATCAATTGAACCCCAGGAAGACACTCTGAGCGTGGGCGAGCTAAAAGTTGACTTTCGTTTCCTCCCCCTATAAAATATGAAGAAATTATCTGAAAATATGACGGAAATTACGCTTCACGGAAATTACAAACAGGTGTTTCTGGCTCACTGCAACTGCATATCGCCACAGAAATATGCCATAAGTTTGGCACACTAGTTCGACGTCAAGACACATCTTTTCACGTGTAGGATGTCTTTCAAAACCCAATAGACGATGAGCGAGAGGGGCATACGGAAATTACACCAATTGTTACAACCCACCGATTTCACACACAACTTCCACTCGCACACTCAGCCCCCTCACTTTTTCACCACCGAAATTCGTTCATATGGTAAACAGACCGTGCTGATTCTGAATACGGTGGTGGTTTTGAGCAGGAAGCACTCCTAGTAGTTTTTTTGGTGCTTACTTTGAAACCGCTAAGGTAAAAGTCGGAGTACGGTGGACATTTAGTACGCGTTCTGAAAGTACAGTTCCAATCAATATACGATCTTCAAATTCAAGCAAGATAGTCACTATTAGTTAAAGATTTGATGGGTGTGTGTGGAATTCGAAGATTTGAATGGAACGCAGGGTTATAGAGCCGCAAAGTTGGTGTAAGGTGCGAATGGACATGACGGAACTTACAAAATCGCCCCTTTTGGCCCCTCTCCCGCGTCACATGTTAGCTTTGAAAGTCCGTATCCAAAGGGAACAAGCTATTCTAGTGCCAAACAAGATTCTTAAGTGTATAAATGGACTGCACTCGAATAAGTTCGCTCTGGGGAGGGTGTGGACACGAAAACGCCCTCTACGCGCGGAATCACCCTGCAGTCACACTGGTAAAACTAAAGCGTAGTTCTGCCCTACACTGCTAGAAAAAACCACAACAAAAGTACACAAATTTCTGGCAATTTTTTTATCAGGAATTTATTGTACTTTCAAAGTACAACAATTGTTGTACAAAGTACAATGGAACAAGCATGACGAGTGCTGTGCAGTCCAGGCCTCGCTGTGGTTTGTACAATTCTCGTTGTACTTTATACAATCCCTGTTGTACTTTTTTGTACATTTTTGTTGTACTTTTGATGTACTATGCACACTTTTTCTTGCAGTGTAGGGTGACACTCGCTCGGTCCAGCGGGCGGATCCGCGCACTCAAGGGGAAATCACTGTAAATTTCAGTGTACAAATGCAATGCAATGAATTTCGGTTGAATTTTGATGAATTTCAGGCAACAACTACTGAGTTTTGAAAAAAATTTCAAAGAATTTTGGCAAATTTTGATGACTTTCAAGGTATTTCAGTGAATTTCACATATGTTTGATGATTTTTGGTGTACAACTTTGGCTGGGGTTATTTCTACTTGCCAGCACTGGTCCGTGAGTCACTCGTGGACTTTCGACTTCGGATTTGCCCCGCGCTGCGAGCTGCGGAAATCCCTTCACTCGCCTTTACTGAGGCCAGCGCCGATGATAGCGTGAGCGAAAGTTGAGCGCGGTGTGGTGGTAGCCCTGCCGTTCGGGACGGAGCCGAAGGGCCTGGAGCAATGCTACGCCACAGAGTGCGGGGCAGAACGCTTTGAGACGAGTGCGCGAGTGGGTAAGTCAGCCTAGAGCGAGACAGTGGCGGATCCAGAGGCTGCCTATTGGGGGGGCGGAAGTACACACTAAATGTTTCTGTACAAATTTTGTACGAGACACCTCGGTTTTTTGTGCACACGAACTTTTCGTACAAATTTGTACATAATTTTGTACAAAAATGGCGGAATATGTGCAGTTTTTCGTACGAAAATTGTACGAAAATTTCGTGTGCACAAAAAACTATGATGTCTCGTACAAAATTGTACATAACATTAAGTGTGTAGCACTTTTTGCATCCCCCCTCTGTAACCGTGCCTGGAGCGAGAGCAGCAGTAAAGCCGAGGGGTGACCCACTGTCAAATTTTGTGTACAATGATTGTGTGAATGTGCAAGATTTCTGGCGTTTTTGCCACGCATGTTGCCTATTTACAGGCGTTTTTGCCTCCTAAATGTGGAATGCACATGTGGTCAAATTTTGTACAGTGAATGTGGGAAGCTGTTTCCCCCCTCGACTAAAGCAGTGTAGGGTTAGGCTTCAGTGGCATCCGACTTGATATTGGTGAAGATTTGCTGGATTCAGCTAGAGTTTTGCCTTCATCAAATGTCGTGTTTTTTATGTTTCTAAATACATCACTACACTGGGAGTTTGGCGCGGCGCGCCCCCCACTTTCAAAATTTATTATTGCCAACATTTTTCTTTTAGCTTATTCGTTCGGAAGAAACGTGAGATGTATACTTGGCCTCGCTCCGGGCGGCCGTGTCGCGGTGAAGTGCCCAGTGTGGCAGCAGACTCATTCCGAGAATCGTTTTCGTCGCTCCGTCTCTCTCGCACCTACACGGGACGCCCCATCGGTGAGAGAGAGACGGAGCACAGTGGGCCAGAAGACCGGTGGAGGCGGCCAAAACTCTAGACGCGTTTTGAGCTCCAGAGCCGCTAAGCAGGCCTCGAACCTTACGTGTGACCCCAGCAATGGATTGCTCTCCGAACGAGAATCCATTGGTGGGGTCACACGTTCGGTTCGAGGCCTGCTTAGCGACTCTGGGGCTCAAAACGCGTCTAGAGTTTTGGCCGCCTCCACCGGTCTTCTGGCCCACTGTGCGGAGCGACGGAAGCGATTCTCGGAATCAGTCCGCAGATTGAAAACAAGGCGATAAGGTCGCGCATCGCCCCCCCCCCCTCCCTCCCTCCAGCAGTACCGCACTTTTAAAAGCAGCACGGCTTACACTCGAAGCACATCATTCCGCACTCTGCATCGGCCTGCCTGGTGCGCATCGGTGAGAGACTCTAAAAGCCGGGGGCTGGAAATATAGTTTCCATTATGTGTGCGAAAACGGTTCCTCACTGTTCCTGAGGTTCAGCAGACTGATTCCGAGAGTTGTTTTCGTCGCTCCGTCTCTCTCGCACTCATCGGACGTCCCTTATAGGTGCGAGGGAGACAGAGCGACGAAAACGACTCTCGGAATCAGTCTGCAGCGGCAGAACGACAAGACAAGGTGACGGTTTGCAGTTTTCTATGTGTGCGCTAAAAGGTGTTTTTATGTTTACAGCGTGTCGCGGGAACGAGTTGCGGACGAAAGTGGTCATCGGTCGCCAACAAGACGCACGCATCATGAAGAGCGTGGCTGTCACGGTAAGCATTCTCTGTGAAATTTCGGGGGGGGGGGGTGCACAGAATTTATAACTAGAAAGATGTTTCCGAATGTCAGAAACCTGTCTGAAAACCTGATTAAAATTCGCGCACCTCTGAAAGCTGAAAACACCTCCTAACATTCTGTAGAACTCAAACCATCAATTTCAGAGTAATTTTTTCAGAATTTCAGCTTTCAGAGGTGCGCGGATTTTGATCAGGATTTCAGACATGTTTCTGATATTCTGACAAAATTTACACGAGTGTGGCATGAGTGAAGGCCACTCGCGCAATAGATATCTAACGCCTCCCATGTGTAAAATTTATAGTATTCGAATTATTTCATTTACAGTGTGTCAGCGTGCTGCTCGCGGTGGGTGCAATTATGGTGCCGGGCGCGAGTGGAGGATGCGGCGGACACGATCCCGCTTTGACGGTGGCCACCAAAACAGGCCTCAGCGGATCAAAGTCGACGGAGTGCTTCAAAGACAAACTTGGAACCTGCTTCGGCCGCTTTCCCAAGGTAAGAACCTCGGCATTATTGAATCCTTGGCTTAAGGGGGCCAAAGGTTGGATAGCAGGCCCGAGGCCAGCGGGGCCAGGGTCTAGACCACGTTTGGCAGACCACACCAAACGCACCAAACGTGGTCCAGACCACACCAACTGGTGTGGTCAAAATGGCATCCATTTGACCACACCAGTTGGTGCGGTCTAGATCCCGTTTGGTTTTTCAGTGGGGGCCGCGACGGACGCGGCGTGTTGCCCCCCCCCCCCATGCACTTTGAACTAATCTAGCTGGGCTATAGTAGGGCAAGTCAGTCCGACCGGCCTGCCGCAACACACATGGCGACACATGGCAAATGCATTACCTGGGATTCCCAGGGCCGGCCTGGAAAATGTCATTTCTCAGGAGCTGCATAGGAATACTAGATGCTGCTGTCGCCGTGGCTGTGACGCCGTGACACACGTGACGCGCGAGGCCGCTCACTGTGGCAAAAAGCTACGGAAAATCCTGTAAACAGCTTGTGGTAATTCTCCGCAGGCCCCTTATCAATATTCTCCGTAGGCTCTTACAGTATTTTCTGTAGGACCGCACAGTATTCTCCGTAGGACCGCACAGTGATCTCCGTAGGACTATACAGTCTTCGAGGTCCTACGGAGAAGACTGTGCGGATTTACAGAGAATACTGTGCGGCCCTACGGAGAATACTGTAAGAGCCTACGGAGAATATTGATAAGAGGGCTACGGAGAATCCTGGCAAAAAAATTAACAGGATTTTCCGTACCTTTTTGCCACAGTGCTGGCTGCAGATCCCGGAGCAGGGGAAGGAGGTCGCCTGTCAAAACGTCTTGCCGCGCACTGTCTCGGGCCGCACGGACGGTACACTGTGAAACCGAGTGCGGAGAACTCTGCCATTGAATTGCGGAGGTGTGGAATTTTCAGACTGCACTGCAGAGTTTGCAGTCTCCACACTTCTAAGTGTGGAGTTTTTCCACGTTTTCACCGTACCAAGAGATAGGGGTTCTGTGGGCTACTCTAAACATGAAGTGTGGAGGACTCGAACCGAGCGTGTGACCCCACTAATGGATTGATCCCTCATTCGGAGAGCAATCCATTGGTGGGGTCACACGTTCGGTTCGAGTCCCACTTTACGGTAAAAACGGTCCCTGGTTTTACCACGAAGCCTATGGCAGAGAGAGAGAGAGAGAGAGAGAGAGAGAGAGAGAGAGAGAGAGAGAGAGAGAGAGAGAGAGAGAGAGAGAGAAGGCGATTTCCAGGGAGTTCCTGGGAAAACCAAGGACCGTTTTCACCGTGTTAGCGACTCTGGGACTCAAAAGGCGTCCGGGATTTTGACCACCTCCCACTGTGCACCTGATCTGGAACCTTCCTTGCCCCCAGATGTTTGCGGCCGCGGCCAGCTCCATGTACTGGAACTACTCGAACAAGACGATCGTCGTCTACGACGGCCACCTCTGCGGCGGCTACAGCCAGGCCTTCCGCTGGCCCGTGCCCTACAAGCAGGTGCAGCTCGACGGCTCCACCAAGGACGTCATCTACGACAACGGCGGCCTCATCGACGACCTGTCCCGCGTGTGCAAGTTCGACACGTGCGGCTACTCCAGCACCGTGAGCACCAAGCAGTTCCGCGGCGACTGCGTCCCGGACGCGCTGGGCCCGTACGCCGACAGCCCGGTCAACAGGTCGCCCAAGTCGGGGGAGAAGTGCACGTGCCTCGAGACGTGGGACAAGAGCATCCGCTCCGTCAGGTTCCTTGAAAACGACAATTAAAGATCTCGTCGACCATTTGCCGTCCGTCCCTTGTGCCTCTTTCACCGTCTTTCATTCTCCTGCACTGCGAAATTAATGCCTCGCATCCATCATGCAACAAGCACCTACGCACTAAATGTTATGTACAATTGGACATCACAGTTTTTTCGGCGCACGAAATTTTCCAACAATTTTGCAATTCCAACAAAACTGCACAGGGTGCTAAAAAACTATTCTAATTCCACCGTAAGCTGGGAGACTCTCTTTACTTGATACGTTTTGTGTTAGTGTTGAGACATTCTCTCAGCACGCGGGTGAGTTAGGGCGGTTTTGTTGGGAGGGGTCGACTTGTGGTGGACAAATTACAAGGCTCATCATCTTTACAAAAATGTCACCAAACCGGTCGGTGAACTTGTTATCGAGCCCATGCCATACAGGGGCCACTGTAAAATGCCGTACTTTTGTACGGCAATGGTACAGAAAAATATAGTACGGAGGTACGGAGAGAAGTACGGAACGTTCCGTACTTGCTCCATATGAACCCATGTAAACCATGTTGGCTAGTACGGACGTTCCAGGCAAATTACTGACCAGACATGTTCCGTACTTTTTCCGTACTTTTTTCTCACAGTGCGCTCCGGCTCTGCCACAACTTGCCCAGGGCGTGTTCATGAAGAGACGCACACTGTAGAAAATAACCACAACAAAAGTACACAAATTTCTGGCAAATTTTTTATCAGGAATTTAGTGTACTTTTCAAGTATAACAATTGTTGTACAAAGTACAACGGAACCGGCATGACGAGTGCTGGGCAGTCCAGGGCTCGTTGTGGTTTGTACAATTCTCGTTGTACATTCTACAATCGCTGTTGTACTTTTATTGTACAATTTTTGTTGTACTTTTGTTGTACTATCCACACTTTTTCTTGCAGTGCACTAGGCGTGGAGTAGCGACAGTCTGCCAGCCTCGCTCCGCCCGGAGCCAAGGGGCGGCGTAGGTTGGGTTGCCTAAAGAGCGGGCTGTGGCGTGGCGGTCGGTGGCGGTAGGGTTGCTTCATTGCACGTCCAAGTGTGGACAATCACTCCGTACCAGGAAACGTGGTGCTCTCCACGCTTGGTTTGACAGTGCACCGACCGTCCCAGGCAAGGCCGCGCGCACTCTGTCGCGACTTTGTAACCGCTGTAAACAACCTAGACAAGTATGCCCCTGAGTATGCCGGCCGCGAACTTTTGTTTATTTCATCCCGTCCTGTGCCTCTTCCCGTCCCACCGCGGAATGCGGCCGTTTTGAAAGGGCGGCTTGCCACGATGACGCCATGCCGACGGCCCCTGAAAGTATGCCAGCTTGCAAACTTTTAACCTGTTGTGAGGCCGTGCGGTGGGCCGCTGGCTTGGCCGCTGGCTTGGCCGCTGGCTGCGGAGAGGGTTCCAGGAGCAGCAGTCGCACGGTGGGCCAGAAGACCGGTGGAGGCGGCCAAAACTCCAGACGCGTTTTGAGCTCCAGAGTCGCTAAATGGGACTCGAACCGAACGTGTGACCCCACCAATGGATTGCTCTTCGAACGAGGAATCCATTGGTGGGGTCACACGTTCGGTTCGAGTCCTATTTAGCGACTCTGAAACTCAAAACACGTCTACGGTTTTGGCCGCCTCCACCGGTCTTCTGGCCCACTGTGAGTCGGAGCCTCGGGGCACGTCGAAGCAAAGCCCTCCAGCTCCTGTCGAAAACCTGTCGAGGCGGCCTGTCCAGGCGTCTGGGAAAGGCGGGGGCACGGCGCGACGCCGCCCGGCGAGCCACAGTTTGCGCTCTCTCTCGCTCCCCCTCCAACGCCTCGCCCCGTCTGCAAGCTGATCCTGATCAGTGCTTTCCTCGCTCCGTCTCTCTCGCACCCGAGCGAGCCGCCCTGCGAGTGCGAGAGAGACGGGGCGACGGGCCGTGTCGTTCGAAAGGTCCTGCCGGGCAGCACCCCTTTTTACCTCGCTTCTCACTCCCCGGCAGACAGAGTCGTTTCCGTCGCCCTGTCTCTCGCGCACTCATGGGGTGCGCCATGCAGGCGCGAGAGAGACAGGGTGACGGAATCGACTCTCGAAGTCGGTCTACGGCCCGACAGGTTGAGCGAGGCAAGACCGAGGCATGCGGAGGCGCACAGTGGGCCAGAAGACTGGTGGAGGCGGTCAAAATCCCGGACGTGTTTTGAGCTCCAGAGTCGCTAAACAGGACTCGAATCGAGCGTGTGACCCTACCAATGGATTCCTCGTTCGGAGAGCAATCTATTGGTGGGGTCACACGTTCGGTTTAGGGTCCTGTTTAGCGACCCTGGAACTCGAAACGCGTCTAGAGTTTTGGCCGCCTCCACCGGTCTTCTGGCCCACCGTGAGGCGTCCGGCCGTCCGACGTGACGTGCCCCGGCCGAGAGCTGCCCACCGCGCTCTGCCCACAAAGACCCACAACCTCAGTCCTCGCTCGTGGACCACATTTCTTTTTTTTTTCCTCTTTTTTTTTGAAGAAGGGGAGGGAAGCTGTTGCTGTCTAGCCGTAGCCGTGCCAGGGTGGGTTAGGTCGGGCCGAGACGTCAGAGTGGCCTCGCCCCCCACGTCCCTCCCTCTCTCTCTCTCTCTCTCTCTCTCTCTCTCTCTCTCTCTCTCTCTCTCTCTCTCTCTCTCTCTCTCTCTCTCTTTTTCTTTCTCACCCCTCCCCTTTCTCTCTCTTTCGCGTGCAGTCGCAAATCTGACCATGTCGTGATAGCTAAACAAACAGAATGTTTGAAGAGCTGCAACGTACCATCGATCCGCTTTCAAAACATCATGCCGCGTCCGTCTTTTCTGTCTGCTCTCTCTCTCTGTCTCTCTCCCTCTCTCTGTCTCTCTCTTTGTCTCTCTCTCTCTCTCTCTCTGTCTCTCTCTTTGTCCTCGCGTGCAGTCGCAACAAATCTGACCTTGTCGTGTCGCAGTGGTTGTAAACAGAATGTCTGAAGAGATTCGACGTACCAAGAATGTTAATTTAAGCCGCTAAACGGTCATTTTTAATTCTTTCTCCCTCCCTCCCTCCCTCCTCCCTCTCTCCCTCTCTCTCTCTCTCTCTCTCTCTCTCTCTCTCTCTCTCTCTCTCTCTCTCTCTCTCGCGTGCAGTCGCAAGTCACACCATGTCGTGTCGTGTTGGCTGTAAACAGAATGCCTGCACTGAGAATGAAAGAGTCACCACCATTGCCCTTTCATTGGGTAACGCACTCACCGTTGCCCAAATTTGGGTGACGAGGCCGCGGTGACCAAATTTTGGGCAGTCATGAAATCGTCGCCCAAATTTGGGTAACGTCGTCGGTGACGCCGTAAGGTCCCCGATGACGCTCCTCCGGGGCCATCACGATAAACCAAATGTGGCTTGAAGCCTCCGGTCATCGGGGTGGCCGTCATGGGGAAACCTCACGGCGTCGTCGACGGACGGCGTTCCCCAAAATTTGGGCGACCAAACGCCTGTTACCAAATTTCGGGTGATGAATTTTTCATCACCAACTTTTGGGCAACGAAGTTGCATCACCCATTTAAAGGGTGATGGTGGTGACCAATTCATTCTCAGTGTGAAGAGCTTCAACGGACCATGCATGGTAAAAACGGTTCCTGGTTTTCCCAGGAAGCCGACTTTCATTCCCGGAACGTCACACAAAACCCAAGGATGGTAAAATTTCCACAATCGAGGGCGGTATTTGTTTTACCGCCTTTCCAAGTGAGGTATTCATTTTACCGCCCATTGAAGGCGGTAAATTACCACCTTATCGCCTTGAATGTTCCGTTTGGAGGGAAATTTAAGGCGGTACAGCGGTGAAAGGTGGTAATTTTACCACCTTCAATGGGCGGTAATTTTTTTACCACACTTGGAAGGCGGTAAAACGAATACCGCCTTCGTAACACCATGTGTACCGCCTTTCGATTTTGGGTGGTGACGTCACGTTCAAACGAATGTGGCTAAATGTCACGTTCCTTTGAGCATCGTGTCACATTCGTGTGAATGTGAAGAAGCTTATTCATGGCTGATTCACATCGAAACGAATGTGACACGATGCTCCAACGAATGTGACATTATGTTCACATTCGTTTGAATGTGACGTCACGTCCCTGGAATGAGAGTGTGTGGTGAAGACAAAAGCGATTTCCAGGTTTTCACCGCGTTTCCACCACGCGAACGTCGCGCGAGGGGGAAACGACTGAGAAATTTTGTGTACATCGAATAGGGATAACTCCGGATAACCCGCGGATTACCTCCGGATTACATCGAAAAATTTCCAGGATTACAATTGGATTGCGCCGGATTACCCCAGATTACCTTCGAATTTCCCCGGATTACCCCGGATTACCTCAGAACTTCCCCGGATTACTTCGAAATTTCTGGTTATCCGGATAGCGGATAACCAATTTGCTGTACATCGGATAACCGAAGTCGTTTCCCCCTCGACGTAGCGTCATCAATCCGCTTTCAAAACAATCATCACGTCGCATCTATCCGGACGCGTCTTTTTTGCCTTCTTTTAGCGTGGCCGGCTGGGGCCTGCCACAGTGAAAATTTGTTGTCACTTTACGACAAAAACGCGGATGACATTTTCATCACTTTCAAATGATGACAATCTCATTGATGAGATTGTCATCATTTGAAAGTGAAAGTGATCACAAATTGATGACATTTTCATCAAAGCTCCCATACTTATTGCATGAGCGTGACAACAACGCCATCAATTTTTTTGATGACATTGTTGTAAGGAAAATTGGCCTTGAAATTGTCATCAAGTGACGACTCAAATTTTCACAGAGTGGGGCGTAAATATTATTCCAGCTTTTCTTGAGGTGAGCCATTTTGCATGGGACTTCTGGAGCCCTAATTGATTTTCCGGGCCGGCGGACTCACTCATCACAACCTGCACCCTCCCCTCCCCTCCCCCCCCTCCCGCTCCCCTCCCCCTCCCCCTTCCGTCGGCCAACGTCGCCCCCTTCCCCTTCCCTGACCTCAGGTCGCGCGTCGCGCAAACTTTGCCGGGAAATTACCTCCTGGAA